CTGAAAAAATCCACAAGTATTTCTGTCCATCCTTCCACTGTGAGAAGACAACACTATGCTGCTATGTTTCTAGTCCAGACTTCAACATCACTGAATGTTTTTGGGTTTACTTTAATTGTGAGAAGCACAAAATGAAACTTCTAAAAGTGAACTTTGTAGGTATGGAAAAATATCCCTGCAGATTTTTTTTTTTACAAGACTAAAGTTTCCCGAAAAGAACAGAAGCTGTAATAAATGCAAAGGGTAGGCACACTAAATACTGAAAAAATACTAAAAAAAATATTAGTTGAGGAAGCTTCTTTTAAACATGCACTCACCAAGCACTTTATTAGAAGCACAATTCTTCATGGCATGGATTCCACATAATGTTGGAAACGTTCCCTTTAAGATTCTGCTCCATGTTGACATGATTTTTCAGGTGCACTTTCATGTGCTATGCCACATCCCAAAGGTGTTCTGTTGGATTCAGATCCGGTGATTAGAAAGGCCACTGAAGAACATTGAACTCATTGTCATTCAGGAAACCAGTTTGTGACACGGTGCATTATCATGCTGGAAGTAGTCATTAAAAGATGGGTAAATTGCAGCCATGAAGACGTGCACATGGTCAGCAACAGTACGTAAAAAGGCAGTGGCATTCAAGAAATGATTGATTTGTATTAACAGGGCCAAAGTGTGCCAAGAAAACATTCCCCACACCATTACACCACCTCCACCAACATGGACTGTTGACAAGACAGGTGGGCTCCATGGATTCTTGCTGTTGGTGCCAAACTCTGTGCCTCAGCAGAAATTGAGATTCATCAGGCCAGGCTACATTTTTCTAGTCTTCCACTGTCCAGTTTTGGTGAGCCTTTGCCCACTGCCACCTCAGCTTTCTGTTCCTAGCTGGCAGAAGTTGAACCCAACATAATCCTCTGCTGTTGTCGCCTGTCCACCTCAAGGTTTAATGTGTTATGCATGCTGAGATGCTTTTCTGCTCACCACAATTGTACAGAGGGGTTATTTGTGTAACCATAGCATTTCTGTCAGCTCAGACCAGTCTGGCCATTCTCTGATGTCTTGATGTCTCTCATCAACAAGGCATTTCTGTCCGCAGAACTGCTGCTTACTGGATGTTTTTTTTTTTTTTTACTGCATCATTCTGAGTAAACTCTAGAGGCTCTTGGAGATCAGCAGTTATAGAAATACTCAAACCAGCCCATCTGGCACCACAATCATGTGACAATCAAAATCACTGGAATCACATTATGTCCCCATTTTGTTGGTTGATGTGACCATTACCAAAAGCTGCTGGTTTGTATCTGCATTATTTTATGCACTGTGCTGCTGCCACACCATTGGCTGGTTAGATAATTGCATGAATGAGAAGGTGTATAAGTGTTCCTAATGGCGCTCTGTGAGTGCATGTGTCCTATATATTTTCCTGAAGCTAATAAATGACTGAATTGTATATAATGTCTGTTCTGACTGGAAATAAAATAAATGCAATGTGTCTCTGACTTTCGCACAGTACATGAAGTATGTGTGTGACATGAAGTAAAATAAAACACTTTTGCGAAATGTATTTTTAAAATGTTGCAAGCTGAATATTCATACCCTGCAATCACTTTACAATTTGCAATTGCATATATGTCATTATTCATGTAGTTCTCACCTCCACTGGGTGTTGAAGGATTGTGACCAAAATAAGGCAGGCGAAGGCAGCAATGTATGCTTATGCCAGGGCGTGGTGCATACACACAGATCTCTTTCTATGGCTGTGTGTGTGCGTGTGTGCATCAGTTATGTAACCTTCCAATGCATGTAATAACCGCACACGGTATGCAGCTGAGATGTGACATATACACACTGATTATCGCCATCACGCGCTAGCACACAGTTATCTTGCCACAAACATTTTCCATCTCTTACATATACTATGTACGTACACGACACATATCCACCCCTCCCACACATACTCTAACATTCATTCAATTGCATGCTCAGTCAGCCTCGAATAAGCATGTAATGCACGATGGAAGAAAAATGGGCCAAAGTACTAAGTGAACTGCAGTGTAGGGGATGTATATGGGTCACACTCTGAGGTACTAAACTGTAATCCCTGCTTTAGACTAATTTACTCGCACTCTCAGCCCTTCCCGTTTGGTCTCGGTGATGGCAACAAGCATAATGAGCTCGTCGTAGTGGCCGCTCATTGGCCTGCTGACTCCCTGTCAGTGGACCAATCCCGGATCGTCTTGGTGACGTTAGCGCTCCTTCTCCACTCAGGTTGGACGGGGGGTGGGATTTACGGGGCGTAGACGTCAGACGACTCTCTGTGATTGGCTAGATTCGTTACGGTAGATGCAGTCATGGGAAGTTGAGTCAAAAAGAAAGCTAGCGTCTTCCTGCTAGCTACTATTTCATACACACGCCTGTGTAAGAAAGTTTGTAGCATATGTACAGCCTGAAAATGATAATGACTCATGATAATGTATACTTCATGTCCGGTGCCATATTAAAGAATATCGGAATAGCTTCCTTTAAGCAAAACATCTTTAACAGATAAAGTGGAGTTTCCCCAACAGGTGTTTGGACATAACGCCTTAAAAATACTGAGCCGCAAAACCATCTTTTTTCAACGGGCACCGTATTATAAGTATCTGCACGGCGTCAGCATTCGACGTGTGCAGCCGTAGATTGGTGAATAGTGTTATTTTTCTTCATTTCACCCTCCCACTCCCTCTCACTAGACGCTCCCTGCGTCCCCATTGGATGGTACAGTTTCAGGTCTGACCAGCTGTTTCTTGTTTTCCCACAACCTGATTGGCCCGAGCGCGCTGTCTATTAGCCGGTCTTTGACAGCTCGCTCCGCCTTCTCTAATATTACTCGCCTTCTCATTGGCTACTGTAAGCCACTTTGCGCGCTGATTGGCGGAGCTGAGTAGTTGTCAAGGCTTTGGGCTTCATTCACCATTTTGCGACTGTAGTGTAGCCCGAAACATAAGCGGCTATACTTTTCCTCATTCGGGCGGCTTTGCGGAAGAAAAACATTTGGTAAACCTGCCTGCTCGCAGCCGCGAAGGTTCTGTTCTTGTATCCATTAGTATTTTTGTTCAGTATCATTTGGTCGTCATTGTAAATATTCCGAGGGTGAGTTGAAAGCTTGCTACAAATCTTTCTTCTGCAGCACTGCAGTGATCTGCCCGTTTTGCCGTGTTGAGCTTTACGCCGATGGGTGTTTTTTGAAACAGTTGCTAGCGACTAAGCTTCAATATTATCTGTTTCGCAAATGATTATCTTTTTTTTAGGGCAGTGAGACGAGGGAGGGAGGGCAATAAGCATTTCAGCAGGCACACATAGAAAGGGAGGGGTGGGGGTGCACAGTCAGCCTAAAACTTTTTCCAGAAAATATTCGAACGACACAACAGCGACTATTTGGACAAACTTGGACGTAACTCTTTATGTGGCTTTCAGTACTCGCACATTGTAGGTCTGTGGTGATTCTGGCAAGTCCAGGACCATTTTCTCATCTTTTAAACTTCGATATTTCCATAATACGGCGTAACTGTGACACAGTTTCGCCCTCCCACTCGGTCCTCTTACTTGCGGCCCTCGTCTCTTTCTTTTGACGGACGAGAGCCATACATCGTTCAGTCACCACACATATCTGTTGATCAGTTTTTGCGCGCTGGATTACCCTTACGATTACTGCCGACCGCTGTCTCACGCAACGGTTCCGTGCAAAGCTTTCAGAAACGTATTTTAATTTAGGGGTTTATTCTGTTATTTTCCCGGCTAAAATATACGCAGGGTTTCGAGTGATACACCTCAGGTTTCCACGCAGTGGTGTTGTGGACCGTGTTGGCCGTTATTTATTCGCTTTTTGAAAGAGCTGAACTGCTCTGCGGCCTTGTGTTGTGGAGAGAGGCCTGCGTCACTCGACTTCACTCTTTGTGTAGTAGGTGGTTGTAAGCGCAGAGTAGGGCACTACGGCCAATAAAAGTGCTTGACACACATACAGGCGGTCCACTACTCAGCAAAACTTTCCTCGGCCTTGCCTTTGTTTGGTTGTTCAACAATGGTTTCTGTAATTTTTCAGTCGAAGCTAGGGTACTTTGCACTTGTTTATCTTTGTTCGTCTTGTTGCGTGGGAACGTTTCAAGTGATTCTTGCATGCGAAGGTGTATTTGGCTTTGTAAGATGTACGGACTCTTGTTTGTCGTACGTTATTGATTCGTAGTACAAGAAGGGGAGTTTGGGTGAATGGACGGTGCATTGCAGTGTACGGGAAATAACAAATTACATGTGTAAAACATTGCCTAAATATCTGTCTTGATTCTATGCATGACTAGTACTAGTGTATTTTATTTCCCAGGTTATTCAGTATATATAAACTCTCCTTTTCACTCCTTTTTTGTTTTGTAATCTCCAGTTCTTATTATATTACTTTATGGTAGGCTTTTATTAGTAGTGCCAGTTTACATCCTATCTTTTATTTGCATAAGCTCTGGCAACTGATGTTACAGTGCAAAGGGACATGAACAGGGTGGTTATTGTGGTTTTCTCAACAGAATAAGGCAGCTCTGTAGCACAGCCGTACACAGGAAAATAATGTTTAAACAGTTCGTTCAATAAGGTCAATGACATTCTGACATTATTACAATGTCTTACATCATTTGTAATATCATTGTTATATATACGTTCTTGCAATACAAAATACATTCTGTATGTCACTTATGTTAGTAAAACTTGTATTCAGCGCCATTCTTGTGCATTCTAGCTTTGAACTTAATTACATTCAGTTAATTTTGATTGGAATACTTTATTTTGTGGTTATTTATGGCTCTACAAGGTCAACAAAACAAGCTAGAGTAGTGGTGCTGACCATGTATGTGAGTACATATAATATTGATTTTATGCATCTGCTTTTCTAAGTTTAGAGAGCTGTTGTTAGCTTTCGGAAATGGCGTGTAGTAGCGTTCAAAGGCTTAAAGAGAGAAGTAGTAAGTAGTAAGAAGGGCCAAGAGGGAGAAATGATGTAGCCTGAGATATAGTAATGGTGTGACAGGAAGTGAGGATTGTAGGGGTGGAATGTCTCAGTAAGAAATGCATAAAGGTCACTTGGGTGAACAAGTGAGCTAGAGAAAGAGAGAGAGATGGGGAGAGAAGACTAAAATACCAGTGAACAAGGAATTCCCCCGCCTCCTCTGTTCCAGCCAAGAAACTAAAAAGAGTGTGTGACTTGTCTGGGCAAGCACTTTTCTTTGTGTTTAGTTGGTCTTTGTTATGGCATGTGATACTACATTTCATTAAGTTACGTTAGGTTCTACAGTATATCATAATGAATGTTATATTACATAGTAACATATTCTGAAAAACAGTTTGGGCTAATGAGGCATCATATGTATGCCACCTAGGCCTAAAATACGCAGTAGCGTATGTGTTCTTCTGTTATGTGTGTGTTTATGTATGTGTAGAATTGTTCTAGTGTTCAACCTAAAAGTAATTTGTCTTGCATTCTGTGTTTCACTGCAGGGTCTGAATTAAGAGCAAACAGACAGAGCAAACAGGAAGAGGCAGGGATAAGAAGAGAAAAGAGAGAAAGGGCGGGATGAAAGAGGGAAACAGAGTGGAAGATATTGATAGGCTGGGACACGTAGGGAATCTTGAGGACTAAAAACTCTCTTCAAGCTGTTTAAGATGAAACCCATTAAAAAACAAGGCAGACGGTCACCTCCTTCCACACGAGCAAAGGGGGGGAAGAGGAGGGGGCCACCCGATGCAAGCCCAGAGGAAGAGAAAAGAGACGCAGAGGAAAAGACCAAACTTTCGCCCTCCTCTCCCAAGAGACAGATCTCCTCAAATTCAGACTCTTCACAGGAGGAACCAGTGAGAAGCAGTAGGACTCCAGAGAGGGAGGGCCAAAGAGAGGGAATACTGGATGTTTCAGGGGACTGTGGGAAAACAGAAGAGCACTCTGGGAGCTCCAGGGCAGGTGGAGCACAGAGTGACAGCAACAGCAGCACAGCCAGCGCCAATAGCAGCCCCAATCCGTCATCCAGCCGCAAGACAGCCACCTTTAAGGCCCGCGTGCCCAAGAAGAAGTATACCTCTGAGCACTGTGCTGGAAACCATGGCAACGCCAGCACTCCCAGTACTCCCCCACAAAGCAACAGCAGCACAGCTCACAATGGCTCTGGTGCTAGTCAGGGCTCCACTACTGTTGCTGCACACACAGACACAAGCAGCCAAAGCAACCGGCTGGCTGAGGAGAGCACCACAGGGGTCATACAAAACAGTGTGGCAGTGCCTGTGGGCAGAACAGGAGACGAGGGGGGCGAGAGAGACAAGGCGAGCACATCTAGTCCTCAGCGCTGCTCTTCCACAGACACAGCCAGTGAACACTCAGCTGAGCTTGAGGTGACAGTACGGCGTTCGGAGTCCCGCTCAAACTCACAAGGAGCACAAGCACACGCTAGTCCTCCACCTCTACAAGAAAGCTTGCCAGCTGGGCTGTCCGAAGCACTGGCCAAGGGCTTAAAGAACCAGAGAGTCCTGGCCAGGGTAGGTGCTAGAATGGGGGAAGGATGGCCAACTGATAGAGGGAGAGAATCATCAGGAGTTTTCCGTGCTGGCGTCGTCCGGGAAGTTAGCAGGGAGCATGGGAGTGTGGAAGTGCAGCTGAATGGGGAAAAAACTTTATGCAAATACCCATTCCGAGGAGCTACTGAAACAGTGGACCTGATTCTAGATGCACCCCCTCCGGGGCAGGCACCTGTGGCCATAGGAACACATGTGTGTGTGCCTTTTGGAGGTAGCAGTGAGGGTAGCGAAGGTGCACAACAATGGTACAGAGAAGGCCTGGTCACCCAGGTGGACCCCCACCCTGCTGTTTCTTCTCCATATCGTGTCCAGCTACAGGAGGATCCAGCAGGTGAGAAGGAGAGAAGAAGAGTGGAGGAGGAAGGGAGGGCTACTGCTGCTCATGCAGTGTGGGTCTCACGGCAGAGCCTTCGCCTCCTGGTTCCACCTTGGGACTTGGAGCTGCCACTATCTGCTGAGCAAGAGAATGATGGTCGAAGAGTGAGGGGAAGAGAGAGAGATTGGGAGGACAGAGATGAGATGGAAGTGGAACGGGAGCTGTGTCGTCTCAGCATGGTGCATGGCGTAACTGGACCAGTGTTAGTTAGAGGGATGTTACACCCTGGATCTGCACCTTCTTCATTACCACCCTCTTCCTCTTCTGCTGTTAGCTCTGCTATCACTTCTGTTCTCAACATAGCTCCCAATCGGGACTGGGACTGTAGCCGAGAAAAGGAGCTGGAGAAGGAGCGAGAAATGCAGAGGCAATTAGAAAAAGAGAGAGAAAGGGAAAGGGTTGCTCTACAACCACCAGCCCCAGAAGAGGACATGGAGGTCAGCCATTTCAGCATGGCTCAACTCAGGGAGGGTGGCCTCCCCTCAGCCATGGGCAGCAAACCTCTGGGTATGCCCTCCCAGCATCGGCCCATTCTCTCGAAACCTACAGACTACCTCAGCTCTCATCTGTCAGTGGTGAGAGGCATTGGCACCACGTTACCACCCCACTTGTCTCTTGTCCCTCACCCCACCCCCTCCCCTGTGCTCCTGGGACTGGACCCAGCAGCAGGGGCAGCAGTCATCTCCTCCACCCCACAGTTACCTCCCTTGCCCCCCTCCTCTTCCCGCAGTTCCTTGGAGAAGACCTCTACTTCCAGCTCCCACGGTGCATCGGGGGGTGGCTCAGGCTCCTCATCTTCATCATCACGTTCCCGCACTCCACTCACAGCTGCCCAGCAGAAGTACAAGAAGGGTGACGTGGTGTGTACTCCCACAGGTATCCGCAAAAAGTTCAATGGAAAGCAGTGGCGTCGACTGTGCTCTCGAGAGGGCTGCTCCAAGGAGTCCCAGCGTCGTGGCTACTGCTCCCGCCACCTCTCCATGCGAACTAAGGAGATGGAGGCAGGAGGTGGAGTGGGCCGAGACCGGAGTGGTGCCAGCAGCACAGGCACCCTCACACCTGATCTCCGCTTAGGAGGTCGCACCAGCAGCGAGTTTGACTGGGATGAGACATCACGGGACAGTAGTGAAGCCAGCAGCCGTGGGGGAGACTCACGGCCTCGTTTAGTCCTACCTTCTCTCCTACCACAAGAGCTGCCACGTGACCTGTCACGCTTTGACTTTGACGAGTGTGAGGCTGCGAACATGCTGGTGTCTCTGGGCAGCTCACGTTCAGGCACGCCCTCATTCTCCCCAGTTTCCAATCAGTCTCCATTCTCTCCAGCCCCCTCTCCTTCACCATCTCCGCTATTTGGATTCCGCCCAGCTAATTTCAGCCCCATCACTGCTCCTTCAACTCTCACCCCTCGCCGCCCACGCCATCTGAGCGGCACCAAGCTGGGCACCCCTGGCTCAGAACGAGAACGCCACTTATCTGGCATTATTCCCACCTTCCAGACCAACCTGACCTTCACTGTGCCCATGAGTCCCAGCAAGCGCAAGTTAGATGCTCCACCTCCCCCACTTCCCAATGCTCCTGACTATGTTAAGTCTGATCCCCAGCTGAGTGACCTGGGACTGGGCTTAAACACTGCAGCCTTCAGGTCAGTATCTCCTCAAAGCCAGCCAACTACCCCCTCCTCTCTTTCTTTTCCTCGTCCAAGGAGTGCGACCAGCCGCCCCTCATCTTCTGCTGCATCCACCCCTCCACCTATGTTGGTTTCCCCCACACCCCCTTCACCCCTGCCTCAGGACCCCAGCCCACGTCGTATTGTTCCCCTACGTGATTCACCTGTCATCGTCCGCAACCCTGATGTGCCACTGGCTAAGTTCAGCGACGGACCCTTGAACCGGAGAGCGAGTTCTCGTTCCAGAGAGCACAGTCAGCCACCTCACCTTGCTGTGGGCCTCCAAGCTCCAGTGCCCATTAACAGAGCTGCCACAAATGGTGCAGTATTGCTGCGCAACCCCGCCCCCACCTTGGTGCTGGTGACCTCTGCCCAATCACTGACCACTGTGGCTGCCGGACGTCCAGCCCATTCAAGCCCCACCCCCAGCAGTGTGTCTGCCTCCAATGCAGCCACTGGTCCTGCTTCAGCCAGTTCAGGCTCTGGAGGGAGAGAGCGAGAGAGAAAGCCAGGTGATCATGCAGATGCATTAGGAGGCATGTTGCCACAGCCTGTGGCCTGTCATCCATCTCCCACTGCCCTTCTTCCCCTTATCCTACCAGCAGAGTCACCACATCCTGCCCCCCGCAAGGACATCATCATGGGACGACCTGGCACAGGTAAGACTTTTGGAATATCAAGTACTTCTGTGTATATGAATGAATACTTGACTTTGATGCAAAGTTATGCCTCTAAATGCAGTACTTGCTATAGTAGGTTAACTGATTACAGAGGCCAAAATTGCTATGTTAACAAATAGGTCTACATGAATAATCCTGCAAGTCAGGAAATGCGTGGGGGTAACCTGATTTACAAAAATGCAATTTCAGGGCACAAGAAGAGTTTCAAAAGTTAAAATGTTACTTATTTTATGTAGTTTCTATATAAAACATTACTATGTATACAAGGCTCTGTGTAAAGTGGTAATCTGTGATGAATTAGAGTTTTGATATTAATAGATGACTAGCACGCTTCACGTTGTGAAGATTAAGCGTCAATATAAATGTACTTTGCTGCACGTCGCAAACCTAATTGGCCAGCGCTCCTCTGTCACCACTTGCTTGCAGGGCCAAGGGAGATTTAATTTGATTTGATAAGGAAATCCTGGAAATGTATAGATTTATAGCTTTCTAATCATAGAAAATGACTGTAAAATAAGAAAATTATGGAGATTGCATATTTTAGCATATTTATAGCTGCAAATTCCCAGTTTGGGTGTCCATTCATACCTGCAGTAGTCTCTAACATCACATGTGGACAGATGCATGGAAGCCTGATGCAGTGAGGCTATATTAACAAATACCAGCTTCTTGCAGCATATAGTATTATAATGTTAAGTGGTGGACAAAATACTCCTGTGCTTTGATAAAAGTAGAAATCCCCTTTGTAGGATATTACTTAAGGAAAAGTAGAAGACCTCTATTTATATTTCAACGTGCGTTAAAGTACAACAGTATTTGCTTTGAAATGTGCTTAAATATAAAAAATGTTCTATGAGTAGTTCCTGCTATTACAGAACAACTGTATAATTGAATAATTTCTGTTAAGACTGCGTGGCTGCAGATGTGATAAACTAAAATGATAAAAATATGTAAATGTAACAAGTTACATGTTTAGTATCACAGAACGCCATGATGCTGCTTCTGTTTCTCTTGCATGCTGTTCAAGTCCAGTTCACCCCACTGCTCTTTCCCAGCAACATAACTCAAACACAGCACAACAGAAAACAGCCTCAACTTACACAGTGAAATTTTTCTGACATACTTCTTATCTCATAGCTTTCTTAGTAATCATTGGATCAATACATCAAAAATGTAGTAGACATAAATAGTATGAATTTGAAGGCTACATACAGCAGTTTAGTAGAGCTGCAAGGATAAATGCTAAAACCTACAGATCGGTCAAAAATGAAAAAAAAGACTAATAGCAATCACTGTAGATGAAATGGAAATAAAAAAGCAGTATTATTATTGTACTGCAGGGAAGGTAAATGTATGATAATATTCCTTTGTGATTTTGGATGTTTTGGTAGAACTTTGTGTGTGTGTCATTTCAAGATGAACTTTTGTGAGCAACACTTGTCATGTATTAAGTCATGGCAGTAATTTGTCCTGGAAAATGACTGGGAACCCTGTATTAATGATTGATGCTTCCTGCATTTTCTATCTCACAGCTCTTTCACACAGATTTTCATATCTAGTTGACATTGCTAATAGAAATGAAAAGTTGACTGATCTCAAAAGTTGCTTTAAAGATAAGTAATTTCAAAAGTAGTTGAGTGATTAGAGTGGTGTGTAGGCTGACTGTTATTATGGATACATGTAACTATGTTTTTACTTCCCTGGTTCTAGCCCTCAGCTAATCAAGGTTATTGACATTTAATTTGATTTGATAAAAATTATATTGATTTGATTAGTACATCTCAGTCAGTTAGATGGAACATCAGTAAGTTCACCGCATCTGTTTGGTAGCTCAAATCAAATTCCAGCTGTGCAACATGCTTTGAATTGTTGGATGTTGGGTTGGATAGTAGAGGTGACTTTCTCACCTTCATAGTTTGATAAAAAGGACAGACTAACAGCTTGGTGTGGTTACTTTGATCTGGATACTGGATACATTTATCTGGATACTGTTTGGGACAGCAATTGGTAATGCTAATTAAATACCAATAGTAGTAAATGAGTAGTAAAAATGATGAAATCTCAGACATTTACTTTTTAACATGTGGATTATTTGAGGGGGGAAAAGCACTTTAATGGAAATGCATGCTTCTTTTATAATGTTTAAAGTCAATTGACAAGAATTTCTCAAATTTATCGCTTATTATAGTCCCTATTTTGGATTACACTAATCATTATAAACATTGTTGCTGACAGACCTTGGTTTGGAAGTCCAAGCCAAAAAAGTTTATTTCACTTATGAGCAATAGTGACACTAAAAGCATAAAAATACAGGTGGGCAGTATAATGATACATTATTGTCATTGTGATAAATCACACCACAAAATGCTATACTGAGCATCATCAGTATTTCTAGAACACTAAACAACTGAATGGAAAATAAAAAGACAGATTTAGACCAGTTATAGATGGCCTCTAAACAACAATAATAAGTATATAGTAGCTACATAAACGGCACATAACAAAAAGATAAATGCTTATTATTTTATTATCTTATTATATTATTTCTGATAAATGCTGCGATTACTTCATAAAATGTTAATTTCTGCAAATCTTGAATAAAAATAATTCCTGTATGCACCGGTTTTCATAGCATTTTTAAACCTTAGAAAAAATAAATATTGTGATACAGTGATATTGTGAATTTCTACTGTACCAGCAGTAAAAAATTGCCTACAATTTTGAAATGTGTGTTTACTTTGAGAAACGTACTCTAGATGGTGATGTTTCGAGGATAGAAATGCTGAGTAACACTGCCCATGTGTGTGCCTGTGGGGGATGTTTGGTATGCTGGTCAGCAGCAGGTGTATGTTTGGGTGTGTAGTGGAGAATGTTATTTGCTTCCAGGGTCAGTGTGTCTTTAGACATTTAAGTGTGCCTGAAATGGAAAATTGCAACTTGTCCAGACATGTAGTGGTGGAGACTTCTAGGATGACATACATGTGTATGCACACTTCCACACCCATATGCAAGCACGCGCACACCCACACACACACACACACACACACACACTGAATACATACTGAATCAAGAACTTTGGTAAAGGTTAACTATGGCACATACAAAAGGAATAATTTTTAGTGAATGGCTTTTTGTGAAATAATTTTGCATTTCACTCCCTCTTCCTCACCATCTCCGTGTAGTCTGGACCAATGTGGAGCCTCGGTCTGTGCCAGTGTTCCCCTGGCATTCATTGGTTCCTTTTCTGGAGACCAGCCAATCAAATGTATCCTCCCAGCCTGCTGATGGTCAAGCACTTGTAAACCAGAGCAAAGGTGAGCATTAAAGCAGTGGTTGTACACACACTGGAAGTTCAACCTCTATTATATTTTCACAATTATGAAACAACTGAATTGCCTGAACATTTCTGTATTCTATCAACCCCAGAACCACGATGTGGAGTAGCTCTTGTGACAGAAGGGCGTGGTGGTCAGTCAGGTGCAGAGACAGGGTCACCATCTCGCCCCCCAGCCTCTGTAGAGGATCATCCAGCAGAGAGGGAAGGAGGAGACAGTGAAACGGAGAGTGATGCTGATGATCTGTAAATACCTGTGTTCTACATTCCACATTTGTCCATTTTTGGGTGTAATTTAACAAAACAGTCAACCATTTAGGATGCTGAAATGACCTTTCATTTTATTTATTAATTAGATTTTACTCAGGTGGAGCCCAAGACCCTGCGCCCTCCACTGGTCCAGTGAAGAGACGAACCCAGTCACTTAGCGCTTTACCCAAAGACAGTGACAAGAAGGTGGGGCACATATGTATTTACATTAGATTTTAAATCTGCTTTTACTCATTCTTTACCACATGGACTGCACCAGGAGGCTTGGCCACAGTAAAACAAAGGAGAGATCCTCCTAATCAGCTAGCTAACGTCACACTGTTATAAAATATAGAAAATATAGCAGCTACTCTTACCTTCACAGATACAGAGTACTCTTATTTGTTGCTTAAGACCCCTCATCGCACAGGGCTCCTGAGTGGCGCAACCATTTAGGCGTTGGCTCTTGCTCTTCCAAGGTGGGAGGAAAAACAAACCTTAGCACAAAACACCTTCCCACATGCCTAAATTTAACAGTGTTTTGACAAAAGGTTGCAGTTTAAGCACTGACACTGCAAGTATTACAAGGGGCTGGACTGTTTTCATTTTCATTTGCTTTAAAATTGTTCCACGGTCAAAAAAAATTTAGATTGCTTGTTAACTTATGAAAATGAGCAGCACAACAGTAAGTCGATAAGTGGAAGATGTCTGTTTATATCATCTCTACAACTGTGGTTGTAAATGGAGTGCAAAGGGGTAACATAGCCTTAAAAAAGGATCATAGTTGAGTCAGGTGTAATATAGCCATACTGATCAATTACAGATTTGCCCCTTATAAGCTCCAATACCATTTCAGATTGATATCAGATTGGCATCCTTACAGCATACTACTTTTCTTTCTTAGCAATCACCTCAGAGAGGTGGGCCATTCACAGTATTTTTAAAATACTACCTGCCTTTTCACCCATCCGACAGAGGGAGAAGGACCACATTCGTCGACCGATGAATGCATTCATGATCTTCAGCAAACGTCACCGTGCCCTCGTGCACCAGAGGCACCCAAACCAGGACAATCGCACAGTCAGTAAGATCCTAGGAGAGTGGTGGTACGCGCTGGGCCCCAAAGAGAAGCAGAAGTACCATGACCTCGCCTTCCAGGTATCGTCAGGAGATCTCCATGGTTATCACCATATTTACCTGCTGGAGGAGCAATCATGAGAACACCCATCCATCTATCTATACACCCACCCAACCACCCATACGCCCGCCCATCTGTCTTTCTGGCTGTCTGTCTGTCTTTCTGTCTAACTATCTGTCTTTCTGTTTCTTTCAATTTATTTGTGTCTTAGGTGAAGGAGGCTCACTTCAGGGCTCACCCTGACTGGAAGTGGTGTAATAAGGACAGGAGGAAGTCTCTGTCTGAAGGCCGGGGGACTCCAGGGACCAAAGAGACTCGAGAGCGGAGTGTTTCTGAAAGCACAGGTGTGTTGGCCTGGGTATCCATACATGCAGAAGTTGTTTTATTCAAACCACTATGAGGGGGAATAGATTCTGATTCAAACTGTTCTTTCAAACTGAACATGCCACAGAGAGAGCAGTGGAAGTCTAATGAATGATCAGAATTAGAGTTATTGGCATTACATGAGAACAGATTATAGGGCATCGCCTTTTCTCATAAAAAAATGTTAAAGTTTCTAGTTTCATTTCTGCATTTTCAGAAATGCTGTCAAAATTAGCAACCACAAACCTGATAGTTTAGTTAAAAGCATCTGATATGTTAGAAATCTCCTGCCTCACCCAGGCCAAATAACTGATTACTGACCCACAAACCTCATCACTGCATGTACAGTCCTTCTGGACTAAAAGACAAGAGCAGATTGTATCTCTGTATACATCTTGATGAGCTTGTTAGTACATAAGACACTGAGGGAGGCTTGATGATGTAAGTTCTTCTGCTGGTTCCACTCATTCTAGATGCTCAGTCAGTGTCTCAGGTGGTGGAGCAGAAGGAAGCAGGAACCACCTGGGCATCACCAGGGTCTGAGCGGCGTGGAGGGCCGATAGGAGGCCAGCTCCCACGCCCTCGCGCATTTTCCCAGAGTGCTGTGCACAGCCTGGAGAAGAGAGAGCGAGAAAGGGATCTAGAGAAGGTATGAATATATCTGCTACACATTTTATCACTCACATGTTTGACACTCAACATTTCAGGCCACACATACTTTCAACCTGAACAGACATTAATGCATTAGGCAATTCAAAGATCAGAGTCTTATTCAAAGAAGTCCTCATCCTGTCTCTCTGTAGCAATTTACCTATCTCTATTCTGTCTCTCTCTCTTTATTTTGTCAGGATGGAACAGGTTCGTTTCAGACTCATCCCACTCCTCTCTCGCAGCGCAGGGCAAGCGAGGATGTGACCAGTGATGAAGAGCGAATGGTCATTTGTGAGGAAGATGGAGATGATGATGTCATGGGTAAGCCTATTTATGGCCAAACTTTTTCCTGAATTTTATGCACATTGGTGATCAATGTCCCATTTAAAGAAGTTCAACATTTATTTTCCCTAAATCTATAAAACTGCTAAGTACAATTGTATAACTTCACTCTATAACACTCTAAAAGAGAAAAGGGGACCTAAAATTCAATTGCAATGCATAATGCATAACTGCCCATGAATGATCATAAGAGCCTGTTTTACTTTTTTTTCTAGCACTTTAACTAGAGACGGCCTATTGGTATAGATATATAGTATTTGTATTGGCCAATATCAGTAGAAAATGCTAAAATGAATCGGAAATTAAAGGAAAAAATATGAATCCAATCGTATAACAAATCGATCCCAAAATAGCACTCACTCATTGTGTGATGTCTTGTTGTTAGCTGTTTATTTATTCCTGTGGGGTAGTAGAGTGTTTGCATAGTTTACGCATAATAGCCTACTATTAGATGCTCATCTTAAATACTTTAAATAAATCTTAGTAGTCTTCGAAGAACTATTGGATTGGTATCAGCCAATACTCAAGGTTTCAGTATTGGTATCAGTGTTGGGTTTCAGAAAAGTGGTATTGTGCCATCTCTAGTTTTAACCTATTCTATGTTTATATGTCTTGCCATTCAGGATTGTACGTTAGAAAGTGTTTTCTTTCCCTACAATAATGATGAGGTTAAATTGTGCTGTCAATTTTAATTTAAAGGTATTCTCAGATAAAACTACTTTAGAAATTATAGCACTTTTGCACATGTTTTAGGGCACCATAAATGGATAATTTTGACATTATGTAGAGTAAAATAAAAAAAATATTAAAAATGATCAAATGATGATGCTGACTGACTATATAATTACTTCATTGGCCTTTCTTAGACCTAGTGCTCTATAGTTTCAGCCCCAGAGCTAAGTGCAACCCTTAGTGTGAACTGTGAAGGTGTTGAAATCAAGCAATAGAACATAAGAGTTGTTCACGAATAACATCAGAGCACTGATTTGGTTTTACTTCATATGTTGCAGTTTTACAGTGAATATTTTAGTAATCTTAAAGTGTAACTCTGCATTTTATTGGAGAAGCCTAATCTATGTGTCCAGCTTATCAGCTGAGACCTCATTGTTAAACAAAACAGTGTTATGTATGGTGTGTTTAGTGAGGTTTCTGACCTTTTGTTTCAAATATATGCAATTTGTGACTGCTAACATGTATGCATTTGTGAGATCTTGCTTTCCTTCCTCCAAGCTGAGCAGCACATAAGCTTGTCCAGGGGGGCTACCCGCTAGAAGAAACATAATGTGTCAGCAGCCTATGAACATAAGTAAGCTGTCTTAACTAGTGGTTCTCAAACTAATCCTCAGAACAAAAAAAACTCCAGATTTTTGCTCTGTCCCTATGTGTTGGCAGAAATTTAGCCCAATGTGTGGTTCCCGAGAACGGGTTGGAGAACCACTGATCTAAACATGTTTGAAGTCTGTGCTCTCTACTTATAATACCAACATATTTAAACTTACAAAATGGATATATCTAAATAGATATACTTAAGTTTCTACAAATAGAACATTGGAATGCAAGAATATTTCATGCTGAGATGCTGACAGAATAGTTTGTTAACATGTAATGTGTTGCACCATCAAAGCAAAGGTAACTGAGCTCTTTTCTCAGACTCTGAAAACTTACTGTGCTTATAAAACATACAGTTTTTCTTTCATTTTTGGTCTCTAAAGAAGGGCTGCTTAGTAGGTGTTCGTGTAAGTTTCAGTCTAATGTCTCCCTGTATCTCATTTGCAGATGATTCTTTCCCTGAAGGCTCTATAGACCTAAAGTGTAAAGAGAGAGTGACAGACAGCGATGAAGAGAATGACCCTGCAGATGAAACTGATGGCAAGGTAAAGTTCCAAAGAAGGATAAATTATGGCTTTTTGCAGTGTTTGAAGTGCAAAACTGTACATTTTTGCTTTGGTCACTGTAAATTGCTTGGGCTATCATTTATTTTATTGACACCATGACACCAGTCAAGGAAATATCACTTCTGTAAATGCATAGCAAAGGAACTGTGGTTCAAAGTCTGCTATGGCTATATGCAAATTATAGGCAGATTATAGCAATCCTAAGGCTGGCTTTACATGGTGAAACTTTCATGCAGCGTGTTGTGAGTTTCATACAGTGTAATTTACGTGCAACTTGACAGTTACACAAAGCAATTCAAAACCATCAAAGTTGCATGCAGCACATTCCATTACTAGTTAGCCACCTGTCATTGCTGTTTCTTTTCTCTATATCTATATATTTATCTTTTTATCTATCTAACTGTGGTTCTTTACTATACGTAAATTGAGTTTTAATCTGTTCTGCAAATGTCAAGTTTTTAAAAAAAATAAATGCACTTTATGCCTTGCTTATCCTGTCCTAGAAACATTTCATTCTCCTGTTCTGAATTTCTGAATGCTGTTGTTGCATTTATTTTAATATGTAAAGAATGTGATCTAACAAAGCTGAATATTCATAGATTTTTATTTAGTGTCACAAAGTTAGCTTTTTGAACAAGCAGATGTTTGAATAGGAATGCTAGTCACACATCAGTTGTATAGTTACTCTAATTCAACAAATCAGTAATCAGTGCTTACTGAACCAAAAAGCTTGTGCGCTGGCTTTAAAAAAAACATAGTGAACCAAAAAAAAAAAACTTGTACATCTTTTATGCAGCGATAGAAAACACAAGTGCCAATTCTACACAGTGACATAAAACACTAGGGCCATTTTTCACTCTTTCGTTTTCTTCCACTTCCACTTCCAGCCAGTGATCCGTCCCCTTTCATTCACATCTGGAGGCATACTGTCTAACAACAAAGACACAGAAAGCAAGAGAAAGCAAGAGACAGAAGGTGGAGAGCAGAAAGGAGGACCTAAAGATGGGAAAGGAGAAGGTGGAGGAACAGGAGGAGGAGGAAGAGGAGGAGGGCAGGTCCCTTCTCAGTCACTCCCGTTATCCATCACTAGTCTGAATGTAACCCCTTCAATTGAACCAGCAGTGTCACAGGTGCTGGGGGCTGTCCGGATGGCCCCCACAGTGGTGACCAATGTGGTTCGGCCTGTGACCAGCACACCAGTTCCCATTGCCAGCAAACCTGTTGAAGGTGGAGTAGCTCTTGGGGCCCTGCCCCCTGACGGGAAGGCCAAGCTGCAAATTGGTGCAGTAGGAGCAGCAGGGAGTGGGGCTGTTACAGGGGGTGGGTACTTTCCATCCTCCTCACCCAAACCTGTTGGTCAAGGAGGCCTAGTCACAGGTTTAGTTCTTGGAGGAGCCTTTTCAAACCAACCCACTGTTCAGCTCATTACCCCATCCCAACCCTTGTCAGGCCCCACCCCTAGTAACGGAGTAGCTAGCAACAATGCTGTGCCCATTCCCTTGCTTCAACCTCAGTTCCTCCCAGCAGCCTCTCTCACTCCACCTAGTGGTGAAAAACCAGTCACTCAGTTGCAGTACATCCTTCCGACTCTACCTGCCACAGCCAACCCAAACAGCCCGTCCTCCCAGCAGGCACAGCAGCCAACCAGTGTCCTTGCTCTGCCCACCGCCCCACCCACACATGTATCCCTGGCCAATGGAGTGCATTCAGGGGCTGGCTCAGGGATGAGATATGCCTCAGTGGGAGGGGTCAGCCCAGGAGGAAGAGGTGAGATGGACTTAAGCATTGGCTTGGTAGGACATAAAGGGTAATTCCAATGATTTTTTTAAAATCTGTGTATAATTAAATTGTTAAGATGTTAACAGTGTCATTCAGTATCATCAGAGTTTGATGTGAAATGCTCTGTTTTAGACAAACTTACCAAGTCAAAATTGTTCACAGCGGTGGTGATAGACATCTGAAGAGTTTAATGTCTCCAAAAGTTAACCTCACTAAAAGTCATTATATTACATGGTTATAAATATGCTGCCTATTGTCTGAGACATTGTTTTACAATTTTTTTGAGAGAAGGTTTTGGCCTAAAACATATATTTTTAATACATTTCTAGAGGTACACACAGGAATATTATGAAGCAAAATAGTCCCCAAATAGAGCATATTTTTTCAGATTTACTGCTTTTTAACCATCATCAGCATTACATGTGAAAAAACTCAAAAGACGTGTATGTTCAATGATGATTATAGATAAATAAATAAATTAATTTAAATAAATAAAATAGCTGTATTTGCATTGTAGACATCATGACCCCTGGTTCCTATCACGACCATTGTACAGAAATGTGAGTTGGTAAGTTTCTCTGCAATGAACCATTGCACATCAGAATATTACTTTGTTTACATCTCAAAGATTCAATTATGCAGCAATTTTGAAAAATAGTTGGAATTACCCTTTAAGGAAATCCACAGAATGAGGTAAATAATTGCAAAATCTCAACGAATGTACAGCTGGCCTTAGTTTGGGATACATATAAATATATATATATATATATTAGTAGCTGTACAGACATAATTATACAGTCTTACTCAATTAGAGACATTATTCTCTTTCTCTCTTTCTTCTTCTTTCTTTGTAGTTCAAGCACAATCTCCAGTCTTACAGAACAAGATGTTGGTTCCCATGGCAACAATGAGAACTGGATCTACACCTCCACAGCCTATTTCCCTTGTGGCCCCACCTCTTCCTGTACAAAATGGGGCTCAACCAGGAAGTAAGGTAGAGTTGATGTTGGCATTAGCACTCACCACAACAAGTACACAAATTTAGGCTTTACTGAGTGTCCAGCTAATATGCAAGTCAAGGCCTTGTTACTGTAGGTTTTTTTTTTGCAGGTCTAATTTTTCAGAGCTGTATGGACCCACAAATCTCACCTCTTCAAATTATATCTGCAAAACTTTCATATGTAGTATTAGATCATACACATATTCAATTTATGGCCATGCGACCTTAATGAGAATCCTCAGATTATGTGTTTCAGTTTATGTGTTTTTTTCATTGCACATGCGCCATCATTCAGTATTACCGTGGCAGCAGCTCCTAACCTGACGTTAGTGACAGTAAACGGTGCCAAAGCAAAGTGTCTGATCCTTTTTCACCTTCATCTTGCTAATGAACAGCTGAGAGCTGTTCAGATCAAATTATGTTCGTGATGAAGGCTTGTTCTGCTGGTTAGTTTGTTTGCTGTTCATGATGCATGTGGTTTAATCACATGACATTATTGATTAGGACGTGCGCATGTGGGTCGATAAAGGACGCAGGTTCATTCACAGTAATGACTGATTTGAGTCACTATACGAATGTGAACCATCAAGTTAGAAAGATCAGATCTAAGCAAAAAAAAATGTGAACAGTGCCAAAAAGGGCTGTAATGCTTTTACTTGCTTTTTAATCTTTCTCTCTCTTTTTGTTTGTCTCTCTCACTGTCTCTTCCAAACTTTCCAAAAAACTTCAAAATTGTCTCAGCCCTTTGGCGATTATACACAATAAAAAAGACACATCAGTATAATTGTATGCATAAGCAACAGAGGTGTGAGTCATTCTGATTGGAACGAGCTGAATCCAGTTCATGATGATGTAGAGAATATGTGTTTCAAACAGAAGAGTTCCAAAAAAATTGATTGTGTCTGCTGTCTCTAACTGTAGGCTCACTTGAATTATCACAGATTATTCAGATTGCACCAATGCCAGTGGTCCAAACTAACGTCCAGCCTGGGGGAACAGTTCATCCGGGGGGCTCCTTCCCTGTCTCTGTCGCAGCGGCAACTGTCATGGCTTCAGGCACCACCCCTCCTCAGACAGTGCTTTTGACTCCATCTCCTACAAGGTATATTACTCTATGCTGTGAGCATATAGCTTTGGTTAGTAGGCAAATTAGGGATACATTGATCCCATGCGCATTTACTTGTACTCAACCTTATAAAAAGGCACCAATACCAACATCCAATACCACCATGTGATGTACACTGCTGCGCTGATGAACACGTGCCTCAAGCTGGCACTCTACAAGGGTCTGCTCACACAAAGAAGAGTTACTGATGCCATGGCAGTCGGACACAAAGCTATCAGTTACAATATGGGTGGACACGTAAGGTTTTAAAACGAAGGCGAAAAAAAGTCAATAAGTTGCGTTACTAACGTCCATATATGCTCAATTTGTTCACATTCAACTGTGGCTCAAACAGCCAAAAAGACTTAACATAAAACATGAGCTCCTCGGATTTAGCCTCAGATGTGATTCCTGCTGTGCTACAGAGACTGTTGTTGAAAGAGATCAAAACTGTGAAATTTACTTACAGCTGTACAGAAGCGTTTTTCTGACGTGAAACAAAACCTGCTCTTCTCTGCAGCAGCACTACTTGATGCAAGCTAACTGGTGCAGTGTAGCTAGGTAGTGCTCTCATTTTCATTAACGACCGCTTAATTATAAATAGGTTACTCACAAAGGTATTGGAATCGGTAGGGGCAAGTCCTAAAACGTACTTGTGCTTGGTTTGAAAAAAATGGTACCACTGCATCCCTAATCCGAATGGTACAATTCGGAAGATAGCATTGTATATGAATGTTGTATATGTTGTATATATTTCATTTGCATTTAGGACCCCCAAAACTGCCAACAACTCTGGCTTCCTTTTGAAGACTTGAATCCAGCTCTCAGTATTTCTGGAACCAAAGCGATCACATTCTGGCATAAAATAGAATGTAGTACAATCCAGTTGTTGTTGTTGTGCCAACAGAAGTAGTAGGAAATGTTTGAGTACAGCACAGTAGTCTTTGAAGTGCACCTCAGGGAAAAAGCTAACTTTGTGTTTGAAATATTGTCCCAAGGTGGAAGTTGTCACGATTGGTGTTGCTGTGAGATGAGCCATTAATCAGCTTTTAATCAAGGTTGCAACATACTTGCAGTTTCAGCTGTTACTAATTTTCTGTTGTAAATATTCCTCTCAGGATTACTTATGTTCAGTCAACCCCTGGTATCGCTGCTCCTTTGCCACTGGGCTCCACAACAGCTGTCTCCTCCCCACAGCAAGCCCCTGCCCCTCCAGGACCAGCATTTTTACCGTCTCCCATGGCAACTCTTGGCTTCACTGCCATCGCTCCTGCTGGTCACACATTAGTGCATCCAATAGTGGCAGGTGAGTGGAATGATTGACAGAAGTTCCGAAGTGTATGTAGTAGGACTGCAGCTAATCGATAGTTGTTGACAAGTGTACCTTCTTTAGTTCCTTTCTCTTTTCTGCCGTCATCATTCAAGGCCCTATCTGGGCAAAAATTTATTTTTCCTTCTTTGGTGCAACAAAACAATAGAAGTACAGTGGCATAGTATTACCTATAGTGTATTGCAATCTGTAGAAAGTACACATCCTGTACAGACAACATACTTCTGAACATTTTAATGCATAATTACTAATAATTTAAAATATTGAAAAAAAAACTCAGCAAATGAGAAAGTAGAAATTAAGCACTAAAAATTGCAGAAAAAGTGCCATATTTAAGTTTCTTCCCTGTGGAGGATGTGTTAACTTATTTTAACATAGAAAATCAACAAAACATGTAGTTTGACTGGGGGTGATCAATTCCGCATACAGCTGAATCTTCTGGGTTGCAAGCTTTATTTAAGCGCATCACTGTCCTGGGTATTCTGTTCGACACAGAATTTGCTTTATGCTTTTATAAAACATAAAAAGTGTTTTTCATTGTAATACTATTTAGTTTTTTGTTCTAGTTGCAGTGGCTGTAATAGTTTGGTTTTTATTTTTATACAATACATTTTTTCACTGGTATTTTTGGTTTTTGTTAGCAATAATAATCTTGTCATACAGCTGCCAAAGCTGATGGGCAGAAATATGCCTGAGGTCTTCACCAGCTGATCTCTCCCTTAGGCCAGCCTCCGCTTCTAGCTCCAGTTCCACACCCCAGCTGTTCATCACAGCCTGCCTCGGCCTCAGGGCCCACTCGCCAACTAGTGACCACCATTTACCCTGCCCCCAGCGTCACCTTGGCGACAGGAGTGGTTTCCATGACTACCATGCCACAAAGTGTGGCCAGTTCCACATCAACTCCTACATGCCCATCACCTCGTACGAAGATATCCGTACCATCAGCCGTGCACTCACAGCCTCAGACTCACACAGAGTCACAGTCAAAGCAGGAATACATTCCTATGAAGATGGAACAGAAAGAGACAGAAATACAGAAAGAAGCAGCGCTGTCCAGCACAGCTAGTCAGGTACCACCTAGTGGTATGGCAGAATCATTGCGGCCCACTAGTCCGACCTCGCATTCACATACAGGTAAATAGTAGGTGAATCTGCAGCAACATATTGATGCACACTGTACATACACACACAATCTGGTGCTATATATTTGACTAATTATGTTGAGTGAGGGGTAGTAATTTTACAATAATTTTTAAGACTGATATTACTGATTCCTGAGTACTTGACTCACATAAGAATGGGGTGTAACTGCATAGAGAACCTAGGCACCTCACAACGTTAAAAAAATTGGAAAATAAATGCAATTTTTTGAAAAGTTTTACTGACAGATTTTTCTGACTCCAAGTAAAGTCTCCTTCAGTTGGAAAGCAGAAAGTTTGATTACTCTCTTAATATGTGTTTTACAGTGCAACTATGCTATAAACTGTTCTTATTATGTGCAGTTGTAAGCAAAAGGTTGGTCAAATTACATGTTTTGTTGATTTTCTAAGTGAAAAAAGTGAACACATCATTACAAAGAACTCACTTCTGCAGATTTTAATGTATAATTACTATTACTATATTTTCTGAATTTAACATACAGAGGAAAAAATAAAACATAAAAGGTGGCCAATTTAAAAGTCATTTTTTCCAAAAAACTCGGGAAATAAGCAGAACTATGCACTTAGATCAGCAGAAAAACGCCATATTTAAGTTTGTTAACTGTTGAGGATGTGTTATCTTATTTTCATTTTGAAAATCAACAAACATGTAATTTGACCAGGGGTATTCAAACTGTAGCATGCAATTGGACTATGCTACATACAAGCTTTTGATATAAAAGTTTTATGTATTTGCTGTTTATAATCAAACAACGTGTTGCCCCTTATAGGAAATGGACCAGGAGCCTCCAAATTACCCTTGGTCCCTCAGAAGGTCAAAAGTCAAATGAAGCATGTCCCCTCAGGTTTACACGGGGAAGAGAAAGATGGAAAAAAAGAGAGCAGGATGGAGCGTGACAGTGATGTAGATGGTGGAGGTGGGGGTTCTTCTCGATTAGAACGAGCAGGAAGAGAGAGAGGAACAGATGGAGCCTCCAAGGGCCAGCTTACTGAAAACGACTGCAAGGAGGAACATGGCAGAGAGGTGAGCAGAAGTATGCATTAAATGTATTGGAATCATAATTCTGCACAATGTTTTTTATAGGAACAATACAATAGCCTAAATTATGAAGTGTATGATGTTGTTTTTTAAATTGCATTCCAAAATACAATAATACCATACTCAATTCTAACTTAACCCAACCATTTGATTAAAGCACTTTAAAGTCATTGTCAAATAGGGCTGCAACAAATGACTGATTTGATAGTCATGTTAATGTAGTGATTCATAATCTGAATAATCGATTATTCGTTTCAGTAATCGATCGATTATTCGGATTATGAATCACTACAATACCAAACAACTTTTATGTAGCTATTAGCTTTTAAATTTAGCTTGAGATTGTTTTATGCATTTGCTAACCAACAATGAAGACAAAGATGAATTACAATTAAGAATTCACTGTTTTAATGAACGTTCCTGCTAATACAAAAGATAAAAAAAAAACTTCAATGTATTTTTCCTGTCAAAATTTATGACCAAGGATGTGCAAAGTATATAACAAGTATATAACAAAGTATATAACAAAGTATAGTATATAACAAAACTGAATTCGTTTTCCTTTAATCAAGTAAATAAAATAAATAAATAAATCTAAATTTAAATGTTAAATTTTAACAGTGCAGTCTGTGCTCTGTGCATTCTGCTGTCTGTCTACACTCGGCTAAAACTACATTCTACAATCACTGGAAAGTGAACAGGGTCGCTGTGAATAATAGTTACTTGCTTCTCTGTTCCAACTCCATTAACAATTCCAGAAAACCTGCGCTTTGAAATAGAAAATGTTACAGCTCGTAAAGACGCCACCAACTAATCGACTACTAAATTAGTTGCCAACTAATTTGATCATCGATTTTAGTCGACTAAGTCGAATAATCGTTGCACCCCTATTGTCAAATTGTGTTATTTGTAATATAACAAGTGTGATGATTCACTGTCATCGTATATAATAGAATATTGTATTGAGTAAATCATAGAGTTAGTCTAAAATAAAATGTTGTTTTCCATATCTTAATAAATGCATTTAAATGGACTGGAGAGAGCTGATCATAGTTCAGCATTATTATTATGTAACAACTAGGGACCAAACATCAGATGTAAAACCAAAAGCAAGCGTCAAATTAATGAGTTCTATAAATGGAGCCATGCATAAGTCATCGCGCATCCTCCTAAAATTGCAAGCGTAAACGATTTTACCATGAGTTAAATGTTCTGATATGGCTCTGTGTGCTCTGTATATGATGGCATGTCCTTTAATAATGTACACAACACAATTTTAGCTTTACACTCCCATTAAATGCAATTGAGTTCATATAAAATCTATACAACTCCAAATGTATAGAAAAAAATAATAGAAAAAACACCAGATTTCTACAATAAAAATGTATAATGCTCGACAGTCTGTATCCAATTTTGAGAAATTCTATGTTCTTGTATTTCTAGTTGCTGGATTATGCACAGAATATTTTGCAGTGGCACCCAGCAAACATTCTGTCTTTCTGGCCTTCAGAATAAATTTGGCCATGAGAATGCAAGAAATACAAAGATAGCACTATCATCATCTGAAGTTTCCAAATAGGATCCAAGACACCATTCCCCATCATACCGATATGCAGTGCACTTCCCTGGGATATACTGGCTCTGTTGATATTTACCTGAATTCTCATTTACTGCTGCTTGTCACTGACATTTTGACCTGCAAGACAGGATGTATTTTTACATGTTTTTTTTTTGTGTAAATTGATTAGATAATCTGTGAATAATAGATCCCCCCAACAATTTGAAGAAAATAGGATTAGTCCATTTTGAAAAAATACAGGGTCAAAAGACCTACAAAATGAATTTTTAGTTGTGAAGCCGTTTTGAATTAATGCATAGTTTCATATACTGCATGCAGAAATTAATTTATGAATTCTTGAAGACATTTTCACAATACATGACGGTCTGTCATTTCTTTTCTGAGGTTTATGAACAAATTGAAAAAGACACAATGCACCAGCAAAACAAAGTTATGAAAGACTGATCTTATTAAAGCTGCACTATGTATGAAATTTTTTTTGTTGTAGTCAGGAGGAAAAGAACATGCTAACACATGGTGTCTGTGTGCTGCTGCAAGTCGCACTGTAAAGGCTCATATCCTACATATTTCTGGTACCTTATTTTTTGGTCCACTTATAATATTTGTGTGGTTATATGTATCAAAAATGGTCATAATTCATTTTACAAGACCATTTTACAATCTCTCTTTATTCCTTAAACAGCCTGTTTTTGTTACTGTGTCTTTAAGACTGATATTTGAGAACTGAGTTTTGTTATGATTGGCTGCCCTGTACTGTGCCTCATTTAAAAAGCACTCAGAGCTAAAACACTTCAAAGAACTTCAGTGTGAATGGGCAGATACTAAACTGCTGTAGTTTGTGGATATGTCTAAGTGAGTTTTCATGACATCACAGATAGAAACAATTAATTCAAAACTTATTTTTGCAGCTTAGTTTTCATATATGGACAGTGGACTGGAGAGTGAATGATACATTTTAAAACTTTAACAATGTTTACATATTACTTCAAACTTCTTTTTTCCAAAAAAAGGGAAATTCAGTTTTTCATGATACTGGCCCTTTAAAAGTTAAAAAAAGAGGTGTCGAGTTGGATTTTGCATGAGATTTTGGACCACGTCATGCATCTTTACATATTGACATCACAGGCACAGACTCAAAAAGAAGGTCTAGCTTGATGTTTAGACCTCAATTGCAAAATGAACATTATACTGATGAAGATATGATAATAGTAGAAAATTCACTTACATCCTCAGAAGATATAGCATTCACCAAGTCTTGACTGAGTTCTCTTTGAATACTACTTTGCAGTTATCAGATTCAGTTAATCTTTCTTTTTTTATGATACCTGCAGTTGTTCAGTGTTCTTAAAGCACTGACAACACCCATGATGTAGGCTGAAAACATCATTTATCATGATTACAAAAACATTTTCATATTGCCAACCCCTGCTCGCTCCTGTTCTTTTCTTTCTTTGTTTCTCCACTCTCTCTCTCTCTCTCACTCTCAGGCTGATCAGAGGGATGCATCTGGGTTGGATCCACCTCCACCACCACCACAAAGTGATACTCCTGTAACCAAGAAGACCAAATCCCGGCCCCCGCCACTCAAGAGCACTACGGACCCTGTGGACAAGTGAGTAACAACCCAGTAAACATTCTGTGCCATGACATTGTTAAGTTTACATGCAAACATATGTAGGGGAGACTCTTTTTTTAAAGCTGTTACTATCTACAAAAATATAGATAAAAAACAAAAGTTAGGTTCCTGGCTTCTCTGTGTACTCCAGTATGGATTTGCTCAAGTAGAGAGATTTGGAAAGGGTTAAGCTAACACACTCACTCATATAAAATCACAATGTATTGGTTAACTGTTTATTTGTAAGCTTTGTGTTTTTTATTAAACAAATGCTTACTCCCTATATAAATTAAGACTCCCCATATAATTAAGGCTTAAGACTTTTGCACAGTATTTCGAGTGGGCTGTATAAAATGAAAACTTTTTCATACTTTGTCCTATTTTGGTGGCCAATAGTAATTGAACAAAGGTAAAGTGTAATATATGTTGATAAAATATTATTATGTATAATAAACAAATAAATCTGCTCTGGAAAATGCTTAATTTACCCTAGTTGTAACTCAATAAAGTAGTTATGAGCAGCCAGTTAATTAGCAGCTGCTGGCTTAATATGGCTTAATAAGAGCACTTATAATTTCCCATTAATGCTGAAGTGTTACCAAATATTTACAGTGAACCATTTTTGTCTCTCAGTGTTTTGTGTATTTGGAATGTTTTAAAATCTGAAACACTTCTGAATTCTCTGTCTTTCTGTAAAGAGTGCTATCAGGCACATATTTTGAGGAGCGTCTAGCAGAGCTGCCAGAGTTTAAGCCAGAGGATGTGCTGCCCTCACCCAACTTGCAGAGTCTGGCCACGTCCCCTAGAGCCATACTGGGCAGCTACCGCAAGAAGAGGAGGAACTCCACAGGTGTGTGTGTGTGTGTGTGCACGAATTGAAGGAAGAGCAACAGACAGCAGCGAGAGGAGCAGAGTGATTTGAGATTTTAGGTCAGCTCTTAGTGTGGTTCTGTGTTAGAATGTGCAAGAAGCGCAGAGCAGATTATCAGATGCGAGCGCAGTGGGGGTGGCTTCTTTTTAGATTTCAGGGTTCCAGCACCAATAAACAAAGGCCTGTCAAGTTGTACAGTTGTACATATATTAGGGAGTTTTTCTTTGCCATTGGGGCTTGGACGCACATTTTCTGCAAAGCTGCTTTATGACAATGCTAGTTGTTAAAAGTGATATATGTGTACATTTTGAATTGATCTGAATATTAGGGAAAACTGGAATTTACAGAATGTCCTCTTTCTCCCAGATCTGGACTCTGTTGATGACCCCAGTTCTCCAAGGAGGAAGAGTCGTCGTTTGTCCAGCTGCAGCTCAGAACCCAACACACCCAAAAGTGCTGCCAAGTGTGAAGGAGACATATTCACCTTCGACAGAACCGGTGTGAACTCTCTCTTATTTTCTCTCTCATTGGTTACGTAATATCCACAAATGATGTTTAGCTCTCATCCTTGCATCTCAACTGATATCCTACTTGAAGAGCAATGTAACAGAGATTTTTGTGGTCAAATTAAATGTTGTTGATTTTCTAAGTGAAAATAAATATACATCCTCTCCACACTTTTGCACACTTTAATGTATAATAACTGTTTATTTGCTGAATTTAACATATTGGAATAAGCCAAAATATAAAATGTGGCCTGTACAAAAGTAGTGGAATATTTTAGATTTAATGTTTTTTTAAGTATGTTAAAATCAGAAAATAAACAGAAATTGTGCACTAAAGTTAGCAGAAAATGCCATATATACGTTTGTTTTCTGTAGATGATGTGCTAACTTATTTTCACTTGCATATGACTGTAGTTTTTATATGTTTGTATATTGGTCAGAACAAATTAGCTCCTTCAAGCTGCTGTTCCTAAGCTCTTCTTAAGCACCTGATAATGTGTAACAGGCTAGCATTTTGTTTTTAGCTCCTATATCAGTGTATTATACACCATGCTGCAGTTTCTCTGGCTGAGTAGGAGGTGTAAAGCACCAATACATATTCCGATTTTGTAGTTTTGCATATGTATCGTCCCGTATTGTAGGTGTGGCATTTTGGTAATGGGTGTGTCTTGGACATTGCTCTGTTGGAAGTTTCTAACAGAGGAAATACTATAGCCCATGAAAAAATTTATTATTAATCTGCAGAGTTGTTGCAGGCATGAACAAATAAAATGAAAGAAATTCTTATGTAAAAGTGGTCACGTAAGCAGCGAAGGCCAAATGTGTGTACAGCACACATATGAACAGTGCAGAACAAGCATGTACAGAATCTGTGCTAATAGGGGTGGGAATCTCTAGGCACCTCACGATTCGATTCGATTACGATTCAGAGGGCTGCGATGCGATCATAAAACGATTATCGATGCATCTCGATGCATCTTTTTTTTCTATATAGCATATATATTTTCTCACTGTGTGAGCTCAAGTTTCGAGTTCAAGTTTCAAGTTTATTTGTCATTTGCACAACATGTCAGGACATTTATGCATTGAAATGCTTGTGGTGAGGCTCAGCTAATCACCCTACAGAAAGTAAATAAGTAAAAATAAAAATACAAGAAAAACCAACTGTATATTGTATATATTAAATATACACAAAATATATACAGAATGTAGAGACAATATACATTTTAAAGTGACTAAGTAACTCGGTGTTATTGTTATTTAAAGTGACTTGGTACTTTTAAAGCAAAGTATTTGTAATGATCCATAATGAATTTACTTCCAATATCTTTTTTTAATAAATCAAATGAAAGTGATGTGGCAAGTGAATTAGACGGCTCTCATTCAGTGCTCTTGTTTGGAGCACGAGAAGCTGCTGCTACTCATCTCATAAAATGCGCAGTTACGGTGAAATAAGATCCTGTGGCAGTGGATGTCCATGCAGCACGTTACAGCTATTCTACCCGTTTTCTTTAGTGATTTTATCATTTTGGGTTTGGTCTCGTTGTAGAGACGGGGGGGATCGCTGTGTCAGTAAAATATGTTTGAGACGGACGTGTGCAACATAGTGCGAAAGCCCTGTTTCGCAATGACTGAGAACCAGCGTGCAAACTGCAGGTCACATAGCAGCGATGCGTTATTCGCATTTATAAGCAGCGCATTTGGTTTCCTGATACGTTAAATCTGCAACGAGAGACTGTCAAACACTAAAAAGTGGCGAAGCTGAAGTCAGCTTCTCTTTCGTATTCTCCCGTTCCACCTTAAATGGTGCTGCATTTACATTCAAGAAACAAGAAACTGATCTGCTTCTGAGGAAAAGTTTTCGGGCGGAGATGGGAGGAAAGCGGCTATAGCTAAAGCTTAAAGCAGAGCAAAGTAAATCTGCGTTTTCGTTTATATTGTTTAGCCTATACTAAGACATTATCACGTACTGAGACATACTGGACGTTAAATGTTGCGGCTCCCAAGGTGGATTGATTTTTGTTGAAAGGACAAAATGTTAACATTTGGGTTGTGACTCCTGACCTGACCTGGTTTTTAATGCAGAGGGAGCCGGTCGGATTTCTCGCTCATCCAGTTGTGTTTTTGTTATGTGCCGCCACAGACTGTCCGGGCGCTGCCCTTACCCACTTCCAAGTTCTGCCTTTTGCGTTCCGTCAACATTATGTTATAAATTAAATATTTAGAAAATCGATTTTTGACATTTGTGAATCAATTCAGAATCGTTCACGTCCGCATCGCGATGCATCTAAGAATCGTTTTTTTCCCGCACCCCTATGTGCTAATAGCTCACTTCACAGACTCAAATCAAAACACTTAATAAGATCTCAGTTGATCCTAATAAATCTCTCAGTCTCCTACACAGCCTGCTTCATTATTCTGCTTCAGTTTTTTATGATGCATAAATCTTCATTAAGCTCGTGCTCTTATTTATTTTGTATGAAAGGCAGTGCCGTAGATGAAGATAGGCTGAAATTCTGGGCTTATGCCAGCGTTTATATTTCTCTGCCTACAGTTTCCAAATCCAATACTGATGCCAGTATTGCAAATTTCTTACATTTAAATGTAAATATGGATAATGATAAATGAAGCTGTTTCATCAGCTTTGCTATGCAAATGCTCATTATGTCTTTTCTCCACATCTCACATAGAACTAGTGGTTCAAATACATTTTTTGCTTAACCATGCTTTCCTGGTGATTTAGAACAAAGATGTATTAATGGTTTATCATTGCAGAAAATTTTAGTCAGTAAAATGTAAGTGACATGGAGATATTATCGTCCCTGGCAGAGAAAGGGACTCCAGTTAGCAACTCAGACTCAAATCACTCTTTGCATGTTACATGTTGCGTGTTGACTGACTCAGAACTCCACTTGGGCTTGGCCTGAACTGACTCGCAATTTGAGCCCAGTCCCAAATGCCACACTAAGCCCTGCAGTCCTCATAAAAAGTATACACTATGTTGACATAAACAAACTTAAGACCTCGAAAGCTCTATCTATCGCATCGATCAGATTTAATATTTTGAAGAGATTATTTGCTTATGTACAGAGACCCAATTAAGAGTACAAGCATAATGCAGCTTATTGGCATTTAAATTGATTAACAAATGTAAATGCAAGTAAAATGAATAAACAAAGGCATTTTTACTCACATCTGAATGTCGTCATAGCCACAAAGTTGGTCGGATAGCTGTAAACAATACCTTTCACTCTGATTGGTCCTCACCTGCATCTCATGGAATTTTGGGGAACAGGTAATTTGGTCTTTGTGGTCTTTACCGAAGGCTGCAGTAAAGGTCCATAGAAAGGTCAAAATGACAAACGGGACACCCTAGGGCAGGGGTGCTCAAATCCTGGTCTTTGAGAGAGATCCAACACACCTGCCTGTAATATTCAGATGTCACTAGAGGCTTTGATTACCTATATCAGGTGTGTTACATTTGGGTTAGGTCTAAACTCTGCAGGGTGGTAGATCTCCAGGACCAGCACTGGGCACCCCTGCCCTACAGCCTCACTGTCCTCGTGTGCATGCGCAATTGTGGTTTGCAGGACTGTGAGTGTCTTTTATCATAAACTGGTTTGAAAAAATTCCAATCTGATGGACATAACTACAGTGCTATATGCAGTACATTCAGTGTTTAAAGTAACTGCCAGAACACGACATATTAAAATATAACTAAAAAACACCCACAAAAGGCTGGTTACTGTAATTTGGATAGCATGTTAGGTAGCCTAATGTCTAATAAAGAAAAAAGGACCAGGCTTTTTTTTTTAAATTATGTTTATTACATTTTTCTCAACATAAGCATACGAACAGACTTTTTTTATTGGTTTTATATAAAAACTTTTCAGATTGCAACAACTGAATTTTAATTATATCGTACATTATTTATTGTTGTCTTAAAAAGTTTTAGGCCCGAAACGCAGACGTTCATAACGTGATGCAAGCACGAGCTGCATTCTGAGCGTTACGGCAAGGGGCGCTATAACGACAGCCAAGTCTGACCAAGCGGTCTTGTACCGCCAGCGTGCTTTCTCAACTGCCATAGCAGACGACCGCTTAAGTCTCATGCAAAGATGGCATAAAATATGATTAATTATCGCATTTCCAATCCAAGAGAAGATGTAAAGCAGCTCACTCTCCTCTACTGTCCACGTTTAGCTGTTGAGGCTGAAATAACAGTAGATCGCTCTCTGATTTGTACTCTATCGCCCCCTTCAGTACTGAATGTTTTAACCTCCACAGCAACGTTAGAACGCGCGGTGAGTTTGTACTGAAGAACCGAACGTTTGCAGTGCATTGACCGAGCGCTGTCATTTGCGTTCAAGTCCTTGCATGAAATATGTTTCAGGCCTTAGGATGGGAAATTTCACCTAATAACACAGGGCTTATGAATTGGCAGTCTGACACCCTACGTTGCCCATTTAAGCCTCAAGTCTGAAAAAAATGGTGCGCTGGTCTTTATGAGACCTGGAGCTTCGTTTATAGAAAATAATTGCATTTAAATCACATACACAATATTAGTTATAAAAATTGCAATTTGATGTTTTCCATAAATCGTTCAGCCCTAATAATTATACAACCAGGGCTATTTCACTCTAAATGCTGCAACTGAACATACATGGCTGTAGCCTGTACAGTGTGCATTGCAGTCCATTCTGAATAAAACATATAATAACATATAATTGTTACTTATAATTTGAGAAATAACTAAAGTCCCCCACTAAAGACACAGAGACTTGCATAAAGTAACTTTGTTAACATTGGTATGTTTCTTGGCATGTAATATAGACTGCAAAATCTTAAATTTATCATCATAAAGGAAGGACATGTCTAAACTACAATAGTTTAACGTTTTGCTCATCCTCTGTTCCTCCCACCTATGTATTTGTGTAAAAAGCTTCCTTAGCCATTCTTCCATGCAAAGTATGTATTTATAGACTTGGTGTTGACGTATGTGGATGAGAACAGACAGGCATTCAGTATTAAAGCTTAAATTGATCAACATTGAGATATCACATGCAATCCACACCCACACATGCAAAAAAGTACATCTATACACAAACATACTTTTCATGCTTTAAATTCAGATTGACACAGATATAGCCTTTACTAACAGCCCAATCTCCTCTCCCAGCAGGAGAGACAGAGGATATTTTAGGGGAACTGGACCGTGTGCCATATTCCTCTCTGCGTCGCACTCTAGATCAGCGGCGGGCCCTCGTCATGCAGCTCTTTCAGGAGCACGGGTCCTTCTTCCCTTCAGGTAACCAATCACAGCTGATTTCTGTCTGATATAGGCAATCAAGGCTACCTCTTAAGCTAGAGTTTGAACAAAAATATTGGTCCAAACCTGACCAGACCCGACTATTCATGTTGGTCATGTTTGAACATCATTTCTCAAATATTTTTCAAGATTCAGGCTGGGTTCAAATTCACATCTGAGTCTCTCATAGTCTGTCTCTCACATTTAAAAGGATTTTAGTCTCCATTTACCCCTGCTTAAATTTTTTCTCACTGCTTTATTATTCCTCCCTACTTTAATTATCTTAACCTGTTAACCTTCTGGCTTATGATTCAGCATTTCTTCATCTGTGTATAACTCATTTACTGTCTTCTCCCTTCTTCTCCTGTGTCTTAGCCCAGGCCACGGCTGCTTTCCAGGCACGCTACTCTGACACTTTCCCCACCAAAGTGTGTCTGCAGCTAAAGATTCGTGAAGTGAGGCAGAAGATCATGCAGACAGCCACGCCTGGCGGTTCAGAGGCCACGGGGCCAGGAGGAGTTACCGGGGGATCAGACTCTGCCTCTGCCCCTGGACCATCCAATCCTGCAGCCAGGGAGGAAGGTGGAGAAGAACTGGACGAAAAGGGCAGAGAGTCTAAATGCGGAATGAGCGAATCGCAGGAGCTGAGATGAGGAATGATGGGTGAAGACAGACAGAATGGAAATGGGATGTGGAATGGGTGTAGTAGGCGAGTTTAACAAACTTCAGCGACAATATAGAGCACTTATGTGGATTTTGTTGCATTTCTAACCAACTGTGTGGATTTTGTTCCGTTTGGTTCACTTTGTTATTTTCCTTTTGTTGGACCCAGTCTCTCTGTGGCAAGGTGTCAGTTAGACACACTCACCAACACACCTATATTTTATGCAAGTACACAAAATAAAAATTTTCACAACTGGCACAAGAACCTTTTCCATTAAACATCTGGTGGCACCTGTTTGTATGTGCCTCTCAATGCCGGACAGTCTTTGGTTCACCACCGCGCTACGGCGCGACTTCACTTCCTATCTGAGTTTCACAGCCCTTCAATGCTGCACTCCAGGCAGCACCCGACTAGCCTGTCTGCACAATGTTTCCTTGCCTGGTATAGAAACGAGACTGTTTGGAGGGAAATGGCAGGACGTATGCGCTTGCACTTTCATTTTGTGAGAGACTGAGACAGAAAGCAATAGCTAGAGAGGAGGAGGGTCTTCACACGAATGTGACACACCCATTTCAACTTGCTTCAGCTGATACCTGTTCTTGGATGCAGGCTTACAACCAAACTTTCCAAAAGCAACAAACCCAAGACTTGCTCTCTTGCAGCCAAGCAGAAAACCAGAGGTTTCAGCGACCGCCAACACAGCACACTCAAACCAAGAGTGTAGTGTCGTTCTTCTCAAATGGAACCAAGAAAAATAAAAAAAAACAAAAAAAGACACTACGCTCTTTGAATCAACTCATAGTTATGCTTTGTCACTTGTAGTTGTTGTGTCGTACTGGTGGAACTGACTGATATATTTTTTCCGTAAAAGCTTGCTCCTATCTTCTTCTTACTCTGGTGACATTTCCAGCATGGACTAATCAAGCTATCCAAATGTTGGGGCAAAAAAGAAGAAAAAAAAGGACTCTCTCTGTTTTAGCCTCTTAGCTGAAGCACCTCTTCTCAGGCCTCCATCTTAGGCCTTCCCTCCCCCACCGCCCCTTCACCTATCACTGTACATAACCGTGACGGCTCGGGGGCACGAGGCTCTTTGCTTTTTTCTCCCCTTTTTTGAGATGTTTTAATCAGGTGTTTGCACAATATGTGGTCCTGGACCGCGATTTAAATCAGGAAAGTGTTTGCTTTTAGAGATATTTAAAAACTAACCAACAACTTTGTACCATTTCATTTTGATTCCTTCCCTTCCTTTTCATAGGCGTTGCCCTAAAAAAAGAAAATAGACCTTTTTTTTTTAGTTTTCCTCTTTTTATTGTTTTTTTTTCTTTCTTCTCAAACTTTTTACCTGAAGTGTTGTTGGAAAGCGCCTGTAAAGCACTGGTCCAGAGTCAGAATGAGCTCTGTAGTCTGGATGATTTTGCATCAGGATTGTGCAAGGGAAAGCTGATCTGAGACCAGTGCTGAGGTGGCATTTCTCAGGATCTTCTCTCCCTTCTTCTGCCACTTTACTTCTTTCATTGGTGCAATACGACAGTGTGGATGGGGAAAATTCCTTTGGTTTAGATGAGTGACCGGTTTGTGCCATAGATATTCACTGTACAGGCTGACAAAGCTGTCACAATATGATATATATATTGAAAAAGAGTTAATATGAGAATTATCATAACATTCATAAATGAGTGTTGAGGAAGTAGTCCAAACAGAACAAACAACAAGCTAAAAAATTAACCTAGCACTTTTTTGCGTCTTGTTTTGCTGAGAGAAGGAGTAATGAGTATATCGATACTTCTCAGTCTTCACTTGAATGTGTGACTATATAAATATACATATATATATTTCTATATGTCCGTAATATACAGGTGTTTTGTGTGTGTGTGTGTGTGTGTGCATGTGTGTGTGTGTGTGTGTGTGAGCGTATATGCTGATACTTAATATGCACCTTGGCAGACCAGACTTGCCCCCATGCAAATACCATCCTATACTAGAAGACTGTTATCATATGCCTGTAAGCAGATTATTATTGTAGAGATACAGGAATACTCAAGCATATGAAGCCACATAACTTGGTGTTAACTTGACTTTTTGGCACTTCATTCAACCATTCATTTTGTTTCTTTCCCCCGCAACAGAGCAACGCTTACACACACACACGTATACCTGCACATGTATGCGTGTTACACCTTCTGATTGTGTATCCAATAAAAACTGTCCTTACTTTGGACTGGAGAAGGAATTTTTGAATGAGAAAGATGAGCGTGAGCTCATGAGCAGGCATGTTGACCATGTGCAATATTTCTAAACAAAAGAATATTGAAAATATTAAAGACCTAACACAACATTTTGTTGTTGTCTTGTTCATCAAACAGTGGTTTGTTTTTATTTTATTATTTTAGACTACAATCATTTGCAAAAGTTTGAACACCCTCAAATTGCAAATTAAGTAAAAGTAAGTTAGCATGTCCTCTACAGAGAACAAACTTTAATGTGGTGTTTTTCTGCACAATTTAGTACACAATTTCAAGTGGCAAAATAACATAAAATATAAATGCTTCATAACTTTTGCACTGGTCATGTTTTATGTTTTTTCCAACATGTTAAATTCAGCATATAAGCATTAACTGCATTAAAGTGTGCAGAAGTGTTCTAACTTATTTTCACTTCAACAAAACATGTCATTTGATCAGGGGAGCCCAGACTTTTGCATATGGCTGTAGCAAATTACAAAGATGTCTGGCCCACTGACCAGTCAAGGTTTTAATTTGCTAGTTCCAACCAGCTCCCTCACAGAAAGTAATTACATGAAATGGTTATGAATACACAGCCTGAGGTATTGTTTTATGATAGCTCCAAGTTGAGATTTTGGCCTTAAACTTTGTTTATTTGTTAAAATCCATTCATTGAGGGGAGGTACATGCAGATAAAATAAGTATACAAAATAATGCTAAACTAAAAAGAAAAAATAATATAATAGTAAACTAGAGATGGACAAAATAATAACTCAGTTTAAAAACAGTTACAAACTGTATGTGACTAGTGAAAATGACTGTAAATTAAAGGTTTAAAATGACTAAGAGAGACTGTGCTACTTTGCAAATCACTGGTGCACTGAAGTTTTTCCAAACTTGGTAAAAACACAGCACCTGGAGTACAAGTTTCTTGAATGAGTGAGGTAAGAGCCATCAGACAATAAATTTGAGACATATGGAGGCAGCTGACCAATAAGGGCTTAATAAATAAATGGAAAACAATTTAATCTAATTGTTAAATAAGGCAATGAGTACTGTACTTTCCCCCAGTGAAAAGAGAAATAGTCCAGTCATCAAAGGTACTGACTGCAGCATGGCAAGTCCAACAGAGACATGAATGTAGCCTCCACAATCATCTTTCTACAGTTCATTGGGAAACAGTATTTCTATAAAGAAAGCTAAGCCTTTTTTAAGAGACATTTTCTTACTCTGTTGGCAGCTAATTTTACTGGTTTCAAGAAATTATGCTCAAAACAAGCAAAGATATCTGCCAAGACACCAGATAAAATGGTACCTGATAAAATGACTTAAGTAAAGAGGTCTCCAAAAGAGTTAAATAATCTTATAGCAGTATTTTCTAACCTTGGTCTTGGGATCCCACTGCTCTGCACATTTTAGGATGTGTTCCCTGCTCCCAACACATCTTTTCCAGCTAATCATACCTTGCAGAAAGTTGTTAAATGAAATGGTTGCCTGATGCGTTAGTCAGTTTTCATTGTTGATAGTTTTGAGATAAGATTTTAGCCTAAAACATATTTTTTAAATCCACTCATGGCAAGAGGTACCTGCAGGATGTTGTGAGGCAAAATAGTCCCTAAAGAAAATCTTATTTTTCTCAGATTTATTTTATTAGTCTTTATTTTCAGACTATCAGCATTACTTGTTACTTTTTATTACATAAAAAACGTGGAAGATACGTGTAGGTTCACTGATGGTTTTGGGTAGTAAAAATGACTATATTTGTGTTGTACACATTGTGAACCCAGAAATCTTTTTAATGTTTTTTTCTTTTCTATAAGCTCACATGCCAAAATATAATTTTTACAGTGTGAAGAACAAAGAGGAGATGAAGTGGTGTAGGGGGCTGAAAACTCTGTCATAGTAAAGAGAAGGAAAACGGAAATTTACAAATCAATTACAAACCAGGGGTTCTCCAGGGACGCAGTCCATCACAGTTTAGTAACTTCCCTGCTGTAACACACCTAGTTAACATTTACAATTAACAAATGAGTTGAATCTCGTCTGTTTGACCAAGGAAAGCAACAAACTGTACAGTGGACAGGAGTTGGATTCCCCTGATATGGACGTACAGAATAAGTAACCGAAGTTTAGGAGAGGACCATTCATGACGCTCCTTCCAATCTAACATCCAAGACCAGATATTAACATAATACACATACACTACATTATTGAAAACATTAATATTGTTGCTGAGCTATCTTGACATGCTATTGAGCAGGTTTTGATTCAGGTTCAATTTCCTGTAATAAAGTTTTCGCATCCCACGACCACCCCATCTCCTCTCTGTTCCCGTTCTGTTCATGAAAGGGGTGGTCCAGCTTTCTGGCTCAAGCAGGAGCCACCCAGAGCTCCAGCTCTTCTACCCCTACAGTCATACAGTCTCTTCCCATACATATTAGTGTTTCATGCCTCGAAAGGATTGCTTGCATCTGGAATGCCAAGATGTCACTTACCACACTGTCACCACATAATCTTTATTTAGGTATTTAGTTCATTATTATTATTATTATTATTATTATTATTATTATTATTATTATTATTATTTTAAACAACAGTAGGGCCTATCAACTAACTATGAGCTAGAAGACGTCAGAAGGTTAGGTTTAATTGAGGAACTACACATCCCAGAATTCTCACCAACATGATGTTGCTTATGTATGTCAAAATATAATGACTTCTTTCCGAAAAAAATGACATTTTAGCCTAAAGCCTAGAACAATTTACAGTACGAACATACTAAGGAACTACAATGAGCTTTCAAAAAAACAGAATTGTAAGATTTTCTAAGAGGAATACGATATCCTCTGAGAGGGCTTTAAAGTGCTGGGCGGATGAAGTCCGGCCTTTCTAATGCCCGTAAGCGGAGCGCCATCTCCGGCTGTGATGCGCCTACTTCAACCCTCGTAGTTGTTTTGAGTCCTGTGTTCCATCAAGTCTTCCCAAGGCACAGCCAGCCAGAACTTCATTTCCCAGGTGGCAGCGTGATTTGACGGTCCAAGTGACCGGAGGGAGCCGCGGCTGGAGGGTGGCAAAATTCTTGAATCCTTTTTTTTTTAGCTCGTTGTTTAAGTCACAGTAAGCCACTGTCTCGTTTTTTGTCAGTGAAAAGTCCACTCAGCCGTGATCTCCTGCCCCACCACAAGCTTTTAAACAGATATGAGCGGCAGCGGGCGGCCCAGGACGAGCTCGTTTGCTGACCCTCCCGGCGCCGCTTCATCATCCGCGGGATCAGCCGCTGTCGTGGGGAGTAACACGGGAAAGTCCGGGGTCTCTCAGGCCTCGGGGGGAAGCTCATCTAATCTGAAGTTGGGGAGTGAGTATTCAAACGATTTTTTTGGCCCTTAATAAGCAGGCAAGCGGTCATTTTAAACTCAACAGGAGCTAATGCTTACATTAATGCAGCGCTCAGTCACTTCTTCGGCACAACGGCTAGTTTGTTGTCTCGGTCGGTAAGCTAACTTTGGCTTTGAACTTGTTCACAGCAAAAGCTTTGCCCAGACAAGTTAGATAACTTGGATAACTAGTTATTGTTTCCGTCATTTTGCCCATTTTTCATGCTTGGAGACGGCATTGTAATAATTATTGGTTGACTTAGCACACGTTCCCTAGAGTGTATTTAGTCAAATAAGTGTTACGGTTTCATTGTTGCCAGGCTCATAGGTGGTAGCGTTAGCTAGGTTAGCTTGTCGGCAGCATCTTTGATTTATAGTGAGCTAGCTAGGTTAGCTAGCATAGCTTACTAGCTAAGTTATGCGAACAGCTTAAATTGCAATGGATCTCACTTTTGACACACAGCTAGGTATTGTTTCAGAGTGTTTGTAGGGCACATCAGTTAGCCAGCTAGCTAGTTGGTCGACCAGTTCCCCTAATGTCTGTTGTTTTAATGAGAGCAAACTACCGATTATTGTCTAACATATTAACTTAGCTAGCTAGCTAGTTAGCTAGTTAACCTATGTTTTCTGATCCGTACCAGTGCTAACTAGATTAGCTAATCTATCTTGCCAAAACTGGCCTGCCAGCCACAGTTAACTGAGTGCCTGGCTTGAAAGACGTTTTATTTAAAGTACACTATAGGTGTGCTTGACCAGCGGAACTAACCAGCTTGATGAGCTGTAAAGCAATATCACCGTTTTGCTTGCAGCGGTTCATAGTGCCCAGTCGAGACTCGGTGGTATAAAATGTCAGCCTAGATATGTAACGCTAACTAGACCACTACAAAATCTGCACCCCATAAGCATCGATGTTTTGATTTTTCTTCATGGCAGTAAGCTAGTAACTTGGCAACGGTTTACTTTGGTACTAGTTTTTGAGGTGAAACGTCCACCTAGATTTAGCTACTGCTGCTGAGTATATGTAGTATTAAAATTAAGTGAAAAGGTTTTGTCTAGTACCCAGTCAAAGGGCTACATCTGGGGAAGATGCTACTAGTTTTTATATTTAAGCGAATGACTCATTTTACTTTAGATGTGCAAAAGTACTGTGATCTGTGTAACTGAGAAAAACATGTCTGTGTACCACTCTTTCTGGGATCTTGTTGGTTATTACAAGGAGAAAGGGGGGAAGTTAGTCATAGATGAGCACTGTAGCCCTTTATTGTATTTATTTTAAATAAGTCTGTGTGTAATATATATATATATATATATATATATATATATATATATATATATATATATATATATATGTGTGTGTGTATATATGTGTATATATATATATATATATATATATATATATATATATATATATATATATATACACACACACATATATATATATATATATATATATATATATATATATATATATATACATATACATATATGTATATATATATGTGTGTATATATATATACACACACACACACATATATATATATATATATATATATATATATATATATATATATATATATATATATATATGTATATACATATATGTATATATATATGTATGTATGTATGTGTGTGTATACACACACACACACACACACACACATACATACGTACATAAATACTTTGAAGGAGCTGGAGGTGAGGTGACGACGGTGGTCGCCACCCCTGGTCAAGGTCCAGACCGTCCCCAGGAGGTGTCCTATACAGACATCAAGGTGATTGGCAATGGCTCCTTCGGTGTGGTTTATCAAGCACGCCTCATTGACACCCAGGAGTTGGTGGCCATCAAAAAAGTTCTTCAAGATAAAAGATTTAAGGTGTGTTAATTTTAACACATACACTTGCACACACTTTGTCATAGTTTTATTGCACCTGTTGAAATGTTTCATTTCACTGAGAGAGGATCCAAGTGAGAAATCATTGTGTAACGTAACCTTTCCCTTACCCATCTGTGCTTTTAGAATCGAGAGCTTCAGATCATGAGGAAGCTGGACCACTGTAATATAGTTAGGCTACGGTACTTCTTCTACTCCAGTGGTGAGAAGGTAAGAACGAAAACCATGTTTTTTCTGCTTCTTTTGTTTAAGGCATTCACATTTCTAGACTGAAGTAGTACAAATCAGTTTTTTTTTTTTTGCCTTATTGTGTGGAGGCCCAAATCTGATTGTTTCAAATCAGATCTGAGTCATGTGTGGTCCTAGATCAGATACATATCTGATTCATTGCCATCAGTGGCTTCTCTTCCACTGTCGTGCCAAATGGTTCTCAGGGCTGTACTGTGCCGTTCCACAAGGTGCGGACTTGTGAAACCAGTTAAAGTTTCTTTTTCCGTTTTGCCATTTAATCAGAACCAAGAAATACTGAAGACTACTTAACGAAAGATTGGCTAACTATTAAGTGGCAAATAGCTACACACCTACCACAACACACCTTTGATTCTATCTGTCTTTCCAACAACAGCTTTATCCTCTAAATAGTTGTTTTTTGAGCATCATTTACTGTAACTGAGCCTGTCTTGCGGTAGGTTGCTTGAAGCTGGCTAACTACACTAGCATTAGCTTTGCCCAGCAGGATGCATCTCAGAGCACCACAGAACATTTAAAAATAGGTGTTAGACTGACACTTTGATGTTTATTGAGTAGTGGATTTAATATAGTGCACTGCTTTCATTTATTTGGCATGCATGTGAGTGATCTGAACTTACTTGATTGTTTTCGGGTTTGAAAAAGCACAATACTGGCATAAATGATTCTGTGGCCCTGAACACAGTTAGCTGACCATGCTGGAAAAACAACGTGCTGAGCCACGTTTTAAGCATTCTGTGTCGAACCATGTTTATGTGGAAATGCCACTGAAACAAGCTTAGAACTGTACCGGCAGTAGAAAAAAGGCCACTGAGAATGGTTTGATTGGAATTCGTGTTTCTTTTAGGTTTTTTTTTTTGTTTTTTCACTGCGTGTGCGTCATCATGCTGTTATTGTGTTATACATCACATGATGTTATTGATTAGAGTGTGTGTGCGCAGGTTGTTTTAGGAGACACATTTACTCACAGTAATGGCAGATTTGAGTCACTTAGCTACATGAATATAAACTTACAAGTTAGAAAGATCGGATCTCAGCAAAAATTCATAAACGAGCAATGAGGCTCGTAACCCATTTACGTGTGGCCCAGATCAGCTACATGTCCGATTTATGGCCATGCGACCTCAACGTGAATGACCAAATCAGAAATCATGTTTTTTTGTTTTTTTGTTTTTTTTTTAATTTTTTAAATTTCACTTCAAATACATCATTCAATGTGGCAGCAGCGGATTATCACAAGTTAGTTCTAGTAAACACTACAAAAGCAATGCTTTTGACCCTTTTTTTGTCTTCATCCCTTTCTAATAATGAACATCTGAGAGCTGAAGTGTTGTTTTGCTGGTTAGTTTCTTCATGACGCAAGTGGTTCGTTCAAGTGACGTTATTAATTAGGGTGTGTGCATGCCGGTTGCTTCAGGACATGGGTTTGTTTATATTAATGACATATATGTCAATCACATGTGAAACATCAAGTTAGAAAGATCAGATCTGAACAAAAAATTGGAATTGAGCAAGGAGGCCTGTAATATGAATGTAGCTAAAAATAATCCTCTGCAGAAGCATGTCTTTCAATCCTTTTCTAAAAAAAATTGGCTTGGACTATTGGGCCATGATATGTTCATTGTGGGGATACATGCTGATTTACTTGTACTCATACTCTTAAATTCACTGACACACACAAACACAACTGCTTCCCCAGTACGGGTGGAGACATGTAGGCCAGCTAAACGGAGGAGAAAAAAGTCGACATTTGCTGTCAAAGTTCATATATGCTGCCTTTAGCGAGGTATAAACGTTAATATATATGTATATGTGTGTGTGTGTGTTTGTATGTATATATATATATATATATATATATATATATATATATGTATATATATATATATATATATATATATATATATATATATATATATATGTATATGTATATGTATATATATATATATGTATATGTATATGTATTCTTTTGTCCTAGCGTGTACATCACTGCTTAATTTTAGCTTCAGTGCACAGTGTTAGCAGCCCTGCTAAGTTTCTTAGTGCGTTGCTCAGTATTCGGTGTGCAGTATGTTATTTTGAATGAAACCGTTTTATTTGAAATTGTTCATGAACTGAGCTGTATGTAGAGGTTGTGTTTCACATAACATGGATGGAGCGTTTTTATACAGATGTGCTTTTCTGACATGGAAAACGCTCTCCATTGCAATGCTGCTCAATCCGAGGTAGCATTAAATAGTAATATAGTTAGCTAATGCATTAATTTAAAGTCAGCTAGATCTTAATGATTGAACTGTTAAGATACATTGCATGTATTGCACACTAACAACTACTTAATTTTAAGAATATTACTTGGTATGATATCAGACTGAATTGGCGAGTACACAAAAAATGTACTCGGTCTGGGAAAAAGAATGGTATCAATGCATCTCTAGTCCAGTGTATAGCAGAAAACGTTAATCAGATCATCATTGCTCTGCATATACATGAGAAAGAGCGAGAGTGTATTACTATTCAAGAGGTTCTAAGGACTTTAGCACATTAGGACTGTCTAACTTACTGTTTACATAATTTATATAAATGCATTTTAGTCTAGTGAACATATAGTTGTTCGTATCCATTCCCACAGTTTGAAATCTGGTAATTATATACTGAACTGTTTCTGAAAGCTAAGGTATTTTTGTTCAAACAATGTAAATGCACCCTCAAAGGTACAACAGTGGTTTTAAGGTCCAACTGTGTACCTTAAATACATTTTTCCCAGTGGTAAAGTACATGTTTGTACCTTTTCATAACCTAATGTTTAAAAAACAGTGCAACAAAATAAAAAGCCTAGAAACGAGATGGGGTGTGGAGTTAATACAACAAATACAAAATTTCAATGAATTATGGTACAGTTATGTTCCATGACTAAGGGTACTGAGATGTACCCTTGAGGGTACCACCCCGGTGGCAAGAGGGGTACTGCCCCAGTGACAGTTTCATACCTTTTTTTCGGAGAGTGTACTTAGATGTAGGGGTGATAAAGAAATCGTATCGGTAGGTAATAATGCTTATAAAAATTATTGCTGATGAACATGTATTATGACTTGAGTAATTTGAGTATTTGACTTGCATTTATTGTATCTAGAAGAGCAGAATGTTTAGGCATATGCTGGGCTGCTATGCTAAAATCTGCATTTAATTCATTTTCCTGCATTTGTAACCTGACAAACACATACATTTCAACATAAATGTTTATTCATCAGCAAATACATACATGAGAATATTGGATGTCTGCTTTGGCCTATAATTCTCAAATCAGTGCATCACAACTTGCATGTTGGTTGGAGTTTTCTGGCAGAGCCCCACTGCCTTTCAAGCTAGGTTACCTCAGTAGTGCTACATAATGCATCTGTGTTTGTGTTCTTTATGTGCGTACTTGTACTGACTAGGTTATTGTAGTATTCTAGTAATTCATCTAAAGGATCTTATACACTATTGGACTGTTTGTTTTGAATGCTACTAAATTTGAACATTGTGGGTAAAATGAGCGTGATTTAATTTTACATGGTATTGCTGTGAAGAGGCAGTGAGGTATAGAGGTCAGTACGAATGCTGTCTGGTCATCGGCTTTGAGCATGCTGGAAAAGCTCTTGCAATTATTAAGGACTTTTGAAAGGATAGTATGATGTCTGTGTAGGCAAGTGTAATCATGCTCTGCTGTCTGCACTGCCTGACAGTATGAATGTTGAAAAGCTCTGTGCAGGTGGTGGATATTTGGCACTCAATAGATACAGTGTTCTAACTTCTAACTGTGTAACTTCTTCTCTGTAATATGTTTTATTACATCATGTGTTTGTTTGTCTGTGGGTGTCTTCATGATGTTCTAAGAATAAGTAGTGATCTAAGGTCAGCTTGCTGTCCGTGTACTTGTGCTCTTTAGGATATGCATATAGTGTCTCAAAACCTAGTGAGCTCTCTACATAGACAGCATTTTACGTCACAATATGCGCGCTCCCGACAAGAAGGCTGTCCCAATTCTTAGATATCTCAAATATGCTGCCTACTGAGGTACCTCATTTTGGTCCAATATCGGGAGAGCATCGGATGTTTCCTCAGCCGCTGAGGCAATCCCACGATGCAGTGCGGCGCAACTTTTGTTTGAAGATAGCGGGAAGAAGCGCTTCACCGAGCAGCGACGTCATCTTCAAATGCAAGTTATTCTGATTTTCTGGGGTATTTATCTGTTTTCTAGTCATAAAGGTGCACGAATAGCCTATACTTTCCGCGTTTGACCACAACTATTGTCTATTTTGCTGTTTCATTCAGAGCAAATACAATTAAAATTGCTATATAAACTGCCAGAGCAGGATCCATGTTGGCTAGTGGGCGGGAACAAGCGGCGACGTCACTGCTGTCTAACTAGAGCGTCTCATTTGTCTATCTTATAAGGATAGATGACGGTTGGAACGCTGCCTACTTAGACAGCTGCCTATGTAGACAGCGGCTGCTTAGAGAGCTCACTAGGTTTTGAGACACACCCATAGAATGCGTTTAACAATGTAATCATAAAGTTCAGTTTGTCTTTGTCCTTTTTGTCCTTGTAATTTAACTGAGCCTGATTAGTTAATTAATTGAAAGATGTGTCTCCCTACAGAAAGATGAGGTGTATCTGAATCTGGTGCTGGACTTTGTGCCAGAAACAGTATACAGGGTGGCGCGGCATTTCAACAAGGCCAAGACCATCATTCCTATCATTTATGTGAAGGTAAGAACGATTTCAGAGTCAACGTTTCAGTTAGTGAGTAGCTTACCTGACTTATGAGTCAGCATAGAAAAAAAAGATTTTGACAGTTGTTGATTTCTCTCTTTCTCTCTTCCATTGTCTTTCTCTTTCTTTTTCCTCTCTCTTTTTCTCTCTTTTACTCTCACTCTCTCTTACTCTATTTCTTTCTTTTTTGTCTTTCACTGTCACTCTCTCTCTCTCGCGTGCTCGCTCGCTCTTTTCTCTTCTCCCCCCCACCCCAGGTCTACATGTACCAGCTGTTCCGCAGTCTGGCCTATATTCATTCCCAGGGTGTTTGTCACAGAGACATTAAACCCCAGAACCTGCTGGTGGACCCGGAGACAGCCGTGCTCAAGCTGTGTGACTTTGGCAGGTGGGTTATTTCTCCATGGTAGACCTGTCAGTCTAGAGGCATTTACAAGACCACACTAGGACATTTTGTGAAAGGTTCAGTTACATTTAAGCCTGTTCCTGCCTCAAACTCATGACTAATAGGAGGAGACAAGTGAGAGAGACAGGATGGGAATGGTCTTCTTTGCTTACCTCCAAAATAGGACATAGCACGTATGAATTGAGATACATCTTATAGAGATCACTGCTTTCTATTGGCGTTGGTAGTTTTACGTATTGATTTAAGGGGCACACACGATATAATGCTGGTCTTTTATTGTAGATAAACAATAAATTTCTAGACTGAATGTGAGCAGAATATTAGAACTTGGATACTCTAGGCACCATTCAGTCCCTATAGTGATGTCATTATTGATGGAACCAAACATGCAATTTAAATTTTTTGAGTTTTGTGTCACGAAAGTTTTGCCATCTTACATTTAAATCATAGAGTATGACTGTGTATAATAATCATCTGGTGTATGTTAAGCATCTGCCTTCTTTTTTAGCTTGAATAAAATATAAAGAACTTAAGAGCAGTTTGTTTTACCAGTTTTTACTTTGTACACTTAGCCTTCATACCAGTTGCATAGCACAGATTCTCCTTGGGTGGCTAGTCTGTCATACTGTTAACCTGGAATAGTGGGATATTTCTCATGCATTTCTGTCAGGAGTCACGACTGTCTTTTGGCTGACTGGTATGGACTGTCTTAATGCAGTACATTAACAAAGGCAGTGCAGAGCTTGTGTTTACATGTTGTCGTAATTATGTGTGTTAAGAGGTTGATCTCAGACAAGTTTTGAAATTCTGCCACACTGTCATCAGTTTTATTTGTCATGTACAATAAACCAAGGACATCCCATGCAAAACAGTATCTACAGAGGGGAAAACAAATAAATAAAACTATATCGACAAAAATATGCTTAAAATACTATATGTTTGGATAATAAACAATATTTGCAGTTCGGTGTGAATATTATGTAATATGAACAAAAATGCATGTGTGCAGGGACAAATATATACAACTGGTGTTAACATTTACTATTTTAGTGCAAGGAGAGAGGCTACAACCAAATAACAGTAATGTAGTATGATATTATGGAATTAAATTAATATGCATAAATACAGTCGTATGCACAAGTTTGGGTGCCCTGATCAAAATGTGTAAATAAGTACACATCCTCTACAAATTGCCAACTTAGAACTAAAAACTGACCATAAATTGGAAAGTGAAAATCCAATCCAGATCTGATTTCTGCAGTTATCTGGTTATTCAGGTGATCTTTAGACAGCATACTCTGATTTCTTCGTTCGGAAAAAGGCCTCAATCTATTTAAGGAATGCAGTAAAAAGCACTGGATTTTAGCTCAGTAATTGGGTTTTTCAGAGCAAGTATGTGGTTTCTTTTGTTTTTCTGAGTCTACGCATGTGTGAAAATAGGCTGAGGTACTGCCTCCCCATAGTTTCCTATGATCTGTTTGCTTAAATGCATGTAAATGCAATAAACAACTTATTGACAGTGGTGACAGAGTAAAAAAGAATGATTATTTTCTTGTATTGTCTGAAGCCTGCTGATAATTTTGTAGTAAATTTTGTCATTCGTTTTTCTGACACCTGTGACAGAGGCCCTTGAGTGTGAACAGTGAAGCAGCAGTGTGAAATGATATGGTTTCTCACAAGAGTGTAGTCGAGTGTTGGATGATATCTTGGAAGGAGATTAGATGTTACAGTTGTTGTAATTGAACAGCGGATATGGAAGGTTACAAGGTGACATGACTGTAAAATCTTGAAGCTGAATGCCTTATTTACATGCGATTCTGGTAAGGCATGTGAACCAGTTTTATGTGACCTAGAAGCCAAGTATCACATTATTTTAAAATAACCAAGCTTATAAATATTGTTTTTAGTATGTGCATCATGTATTATACCTGTACAATCTGTAGCTCTTGAAGATGAAGACGTTTTGTCTGGAATAATGGATTAAATCAAACAATATCTTGTTCCCACTCTCACAGTGCAAAGCAGTTGGTAAGAGGTGAGCCCAACGTCTCCTATATCTGCTCACGTTATTACCGCGCCCCTGAGCTCATCTTTGGGGCTACCGACTACACGTCCAACATTGACATCTGGTCGGCTGGCTGTGTGCTGGCTGAGCTGCTGTTGGGCCAGCCCATTTTCCCCGGAGACAGCGGCGTAGACCAGCTTGTGGAAATCATCAAGGTAAGAGGCTTTGCTTTCTTCTGAAGTGAAGAAAGAGAGGAATTTAATTTACATCCCTATTTTTAACTATGCACAGATGCATAGTTAAAAATAGGAATGTAAATGATTAACAAATTAACTATTATCCAAACAATAGCTTGACCAATGCAGTTGGTTTAAAAAAAAAAAGTATTTACAGTACATAGCAGTTCCTATTTGAATAGACAGGCTTATCTTTGAAGTTGATAAATGTTTTCGAATTGTATGCATGAAAGTACAATAAGCAATTGGTCCTTCTAGATAGGCCACAGCTAAAAATATTGGTGTTTGGGACCACTTTCAGACAGGATAATTGCAAAACTATAGTGATATACCACATAGAATACCAGCATCTGTAAGGGGTAAGAAAGTGTGATGCATGGCAGTGTGAGGAAGTCACACATGGGTGCAAAAGGGTGTGGTGGATGGCGATGGCTTTCAAGAGCCACTGCGGTACACTCAGCCAAAGCTGACATTTATGAAGTGGAGTAGTGAGTGGTAAAGATTTAGAACTTTACAGTATAGAACTTTCAGTAGCCCATCATTATGTATTCTTGTCATTTTGTCTTCTTTTTAGTCTATGGTCATGTAACTGTGAACATCTTAAAGCTCTCAGCCTCTCAGTTTAAACAAAACTGGGTTCTTATGTAGGGTATATTTAATATGTTTTCGGGCCGTGTGCCTCATAGACACGCTAATGCCTGGCCCACCCATCAGTACTAAGTTCCACAGTCCATAAAAGAAATAGTGGTTTAATATCGAATTCATTTGACGTGCATATATCAAATGTTTCACAGTGGCTTTGAACGTGGCTCAGCCCAATAGTTTTTAGATCTGGAACTATCCGGTAAATAATTCTTGTCATTCATTGCCTTCTAGATTTTAGGCTTGCTGGTTAACAACTAATGACAATCTTTTATTGCTTACAAGAATTTGCCAAAATTTGCATCCATATTTAGACATACAAGCTGCGTTCCAAAGCCTAGGCTGCAGCCGAGGTAGGCTGCATTTCTCGGCTGCTGTGTCATAGCAGGTCGTTCCAAAGTGAAGCATCCTTCATATACAGCCTAGAAATCCAGCCTGCGTTTTGGAGTGATTTCAAGGATGCATCAGATGTATCCTTCCAGGCCTTCGGTTACCCACAGTTCTCTGAGCAAAAACAATGCGAAGGAAAGAAAAAAAAACGCACCACAAAAATGGCGGAAAACAAAGTCATCGTAGCAGGGTTCGTTTAAATTGTTCATGTACTTGAATTTGTCTTCGTTACCTTATAAAGTGTAAAAATCACTGATTTAATTCAAGCATTCGTTCATATATCATTTTATTTAGAAGTATTTGTATATATGTAGTTTATCGTACTACATAAGAACATCTCCATTTCTGTGAAGAAATGTAAAAGCAACGAACACAATGCAACAGTTTCGCACTGCTCTGGTGATGTCACCACACAACGTTATTAAGACTGTTCCATTTTTGTGATCAATAGGCTACTAAGGAGGAGTCTTCATGGGACAGTCCTACCGAGGACCCACACTACCTCTGCTGCAGCCTAGGCTTTGGAACGCAGCTACAGTTTTAAATCCAATCTGTTCTATTTACTAGGCGTGTTGTTTTGTTTGTTTAATCTCAATTTTAAAAGCTTAATCTGTAGCTACAGCTGCAAATTAGTTTTTGTCCTAAAGCCCTGTATTCATTATCTGTTGCATCTTCATGTAACAATATTTATCTGTATTGTCCCCATCAGAGTAAATATTATAAATTACCTTACCAGATTTGATAAGGATTTGGAATTGAGGCAAAAATAGGTAGAACATTGGTTCATTTAGCGAACATTTTATTCAGAGCAGCACATAGACCAAATATTAAGTATTTGGCCCTGGGACATGTAAGGGTGTAGAAAACCTACATAAACTTTGAGTCAGGTCTTTGTGAAGATCTGAGGAATTTCTGAGTTCTGAATTCTCTAAGGCTATCTGGAAATAGTGGGGTGAAGTACATTGAGAGTTGGACCGCAAGGACCAGAAGAATGGTTCTGACCAAGTGATCAAAGTAGGGAAGGACGTAAAGGAATTGTTGGAGGTTGGGGGTCATCCAATAATTCTGAAAGCTTTTAGGTCAGGAAGACGAGCAAGGAGGGCATTGCAGTAGTCCATCAATTTGAGCCCGGAATTCATTGATGGACAGGAGTCTTGTCCTTATTTGTAGAGGTAGAGTCGGCATGAGAGTTTGATTACTCAGAGATGTGCTGGTTATCAGAAACAACGCCAAGGTTCTTGAAAGCTTTTAGGTATGAATATTGAGGCTATCACTAATTAAAGAACGGTCATCCTTGTCAAAATTCTTCATTAGGTGGTTGGCCAGGATATATTATAACATACAGACAGGCCAAATTCTTTTGAAACACTGGAAAAAAGAATGAGAGATAGTTGTGTTGCCATCAGCGATGTATAAAACAGTGATGCAAACTGCTCTCTGAACCAGTTTGATAGAAATATCAATTAAGTGAACCAAGAACATAGATCTCTGGATACCGGGTGGGTTTAATTGGTCCTAGGCCATTATGCTACACTTTTTTGTATGCCCCCAAACTTACAGCGTAGTGTAACGTGACAGTCAATAAAGGTAAAGCAAATCTGAACACACAGCAATTAAAATACTTACCAAAATACACTTTCAGTTTACATCAAACACTTTCACAACACAATGCTGTCTACTGCTAAGCCGCCAATATCAAATAACCATTATGTTGAATAACCCTCCTCCCACGACTAAACACTGCTAGTCAGTGTGCGAAATAACAGCTGATTTTTGAGGAGGTCTCATGTTGGTTTGCTAATCTAGCGTTGGCAGGCTGCCCACTTGCCATAATGGTGCTAATGCTAGCTTCAATGGCAACAAATGTTCTTCTGGAAATGCTCTTTTCTAGTTTGGTAATGCGGTCTTCCACACATTAAGATCTTATTCATCTCCTCTTTTGTCTTTGGTTTAATAAAAAATGAGTTACAGTTCGCTCTTTCCACCAGTCTCTTGAGAAAATTGGACAAGTTTTCAGATTTACAAATGTGTCTCCGTGTATTGTAAAGTTTTTCAGAGGAATCCCAGCGTAGTCACATTTGCTAGGCTATGAGGGACCAACTGGGCGAACCAGTTCACTGCAGCTCCACCCTGAGGCAGATCAGTGCTGAAACTGTAGTTAGTCAAGAATACCCAAGACAGACATTTGCTGATTGTGGGTGAAATAGGCAAAAGAATTACATATGTTATTGCATAACACATAGTAAGGTTATATTCAGGGAACCCTCAGAATTAAAATTTTGAGACAGTCAAGGGGGGATCCTGTTTCTGGGTCCACCCCTAAATCTTTTGTGACTTGAAATTTTAAATGTTATATATAAATATGCTCATGTATAAGCTGGAGCTATTTAAAGCAGAATGAGCTAGAATGAGACTATACACAACTGTAGAGGTCTGCACCTTTAAAAAAAAATAAAATAAATATATATATATATATATATATATATATATATATATATATATATATATATATATATAAAGCACATTGAAAGGTATCTAAATGAAGTGTAGCAATGTAATTGTCACATGCATTGCTGGCATGATTTTACTCTGGCTCTCTACTGTCTGAACACAAGCAGCCTCACGCTACTGTCTTTAGCTGCAGCTACCATTGCCCCCCTGTTGAGCAGTAGTCATTAGCATACAAAATAAACACCCAAAAAATTATTTTGTTTATAGAGACCATGATCGGTAAAAAGAATGAAAAAGAGAAAAAAAAGTAAATAATGACCAGCCACACTTAAGAGTTTTCGCCTGGTCCATTTGTGGAAATATATCCAAATGCCATGGTAAATTTGCCAAAAGCCAAACAGGCGGCACCAAAACTTGACTTTTTTTTTTCCCCCCCTGTCTTTTCTCAGGTGCTAGGCACTCCAACAAGGGAACAGATTCGAGAAATGAACCCAAACTACACAGAGTTCAAATTCCCACAGATCAAAGCGCATCCTTGGACAAAGGTAAAAGATGTAGAATGTCCAGATATTTTCTAAAGGGGGAAAAGTGACCCACACCTTAACCATAATCTCTCGAAATCTGTTGTGTTTTGTTTTTCTACAGGTGTTTAAGCCACGGACCCCTCCCGAGGCAATCGCTCTGTGCTCACGGCTTCTGGAGTACACGCCAGTGACTCGCCTCTCTCCACTTCAGGCTTGCGCTCACGCCTTTTTTGATGAGTTGCGTCAGCCAGGCACACGCTTGCCCAGCGGGCGCGAGCTCCCCCAGCTCTTCAACTTCTCCACAGCTGGTTAGTTTCTTCCCTGTCACTGTGCTCTAGTGCGAAGGTGCCAGAGGTTTAGGTTTCCATTGATGCTCCAGTTTTGTCTTGTGGAAAATAGATTTTTTGTTTGTTTGATTTTCTTTATCTGTTTCTTATTTTTCTGTTATTACAGAGCTGTCTATTCAACCTCAACTAAACTCCACCCTCATTCCACCTCATGCCCGTGCACAGACCACGTCCTCTTCCCACGGTAATGATGCCATCCGCCATCCTGCTCCAGATAGGCTTTAAGAGTGGCTGAGGTTAAAGCAGTGAGTGATGGTCATTGATATGCGTGTCTTTATATTTGTTTATTAAGGGTGTAATGATTTTGAAACTTAAAATTGTATTGTTAAAACATCCCTCAGTCTATTCTCTCATTTATCATCTTTCATGGAAAGCACTGTTAAAGGCATCTGCATACATTCGGACACATCCTATCAGAGTAAAGTGTGCAGGGTTGAGGAGGGGCTTTTGTTATGCACACTAAAGACTGGGCTTCTTATAAATCTATTGTAAATTCAAGTGGCTGTAATTTTTGGGGTCTGTTTTGTAAGAGGGTGGTGTGACAAGCATCTGAGGCAAGCCAGTCTGTGTAACATAATTAGAACTTTGTAGAATCATTTAAAGCTGCACAACGCAATAACTTTTGTTAAAATTGAAAGAAGCAACAATGCTGAATTAGCATAAAAACACTCTAAATGATTTCTGTGCACTGCTGCAAGTTACCCTGTAAAACCTAAAGTAATAAGATGCGTTGGCCAGATTTCTCATTTTTTTCGCATCATGCATCTGTATGTATTATGCGCGCAGAGGGTCTGACTTAATGTTTAGGCTTCAATTCCAAATAAACATTATTATAGTAAAGATTTAATGACAATGATGTGATAGTGATAGTTCACTTTCCTTGGAAGACATGTTTTTCTTTTCAACGTACTTATAATCATCAAATTCCACTTGGGGGGCTCCGAAGCACAACCGATGTTACACACAATGTTCTTCTGCACATTGCATGCAATTACACATTTCCACCAGAGAGGTCTCCAAATCTCAAACTTACTAATGTAGCTTTAGCATTGTTAACACAGAATATTGAACATCAAATTGAAACCTGACCTCATCATTGAACCTCACCTCAAATCTGAAAATATATGCATCTTTATGCCTCTAGGGCACATGCAAGCTGCTTTATACATGTGAAAATTAAAATTAATATGTAAACACAAGGCATACATTCTAATCGAGTTTTGAATTTTTTGTATCGTTACACCCCTAAAAACTGTTTATGTACTTTGCCGACTGAACTCTCAACATGCAGTTTCCCACTTTTCAGTGATCTATCTCTTTCTCTTATCTTTCTCTCCCTCAGATGGCTCAGACGGTTCTGTACAGCCCAACTCGACACTGACCAACAGCGCCTGAAGCACTGACTCAAGCAGACACACAGTATCTGAGCCACCTCCTCAGTACACCCTCACACGAACGTACTCCTGCACACTTACCTCATACATGGTTCTTCTTCCCTATTAGCTCCGAACTTACAAAACAAACAAAGTTAATGCTCATACACTCATTTAGTCATTCAGGTTTTTCTGACATGTCAGTGTCTTCAGTGACTGTGTACTATTTTAATAAATAGTGGTTAGGGAAGTCTACAACTACTACTGATCCAGTTGTCTAAGCTGCATACTCATTCACGTGCACAACACACAAAAACACACACTGATTTTCCTGCAAAAATTTGTTCTCGTAAGTCTGTTGTTTTAGAGTGAGTGTCCTGACCAGCTACATCTGTTAATGGTGCCTGTGACACAGGTTATGGCCATTTCCAACAGTCATACTCCTGGTTACAGGGATTTAAAATAATTGGTTCAAGTGGCGGGAGGGGCAGGTCCTCTAAGAATTTCTTCTTTAAATAATATATCTTAATTTATTTGACTGCACATTTACTAAGGAAGGATGCGTCAGCCACCAAAGTAATTCCCCCAAATCCTCTCTTCAATTAGAAGTTTGTCACTGATCTGATTTTAAAGACAACTGAAATAGTAGTGATGTAAAAAGCAATGTTTTACTATTATTAAATTATACTTTTAAACATTTTAAAATGTATATCCTTCTCTCTTACTTTCTTGTACATAATTTTAACATCTAGAATTAGTGCATTTGAGTTGGGATGACAGTCCGCTGGCGTGGGTCTGATATTTACAGCAGTCTTAAAGGCCAGAACCGTAGCAGGTGTCCTGTTGAATCCCACACACATGGCGAACAACATGGGCAAACTTGTGAAGAAGCCTTTTGAGCTTTCCATTTGTTCTTAAAGAAGGGAAAAGTATACGGTAAACGTGTGTCTGCTTCTTTAGGGTCATGTAAAGTGATACATTTGGATATCAGGCTAATATAAGGTATTGTACTATAGCAGTCAGTTCCTGTTGAAGCTTGAGGGATCCGAAGTGCGTGTGTGCATGCGTGTTTGAGTGCAAGAGTTACAATGGAAAGAAAAGTGTCTTGTCCTGCCAGTTCTGCAAGAGTTTTTAAAAATGTGACTGGAATGTTTTCTTTTTTGTTTTTCCTTTTTTTAGCTTGGCTTAGGAAAAGGGACAGTTTAGATTTTTTTTTTTTTGGTCTAATAAGCTAATCTGGTTATTCCTTGTTCTATTGGTCCCACTGGATTTTTTTGGAAATTATTGCACTGTCTTTAGGGTTTATTTATTTATTTTTTTTTGGCCCAACATTTCTTTTAAACTTGAGATTATTTATGTTTCTGTGAGACAGCAGCACAGCATGTATATTCACAAAGCTTCTCAGAGTGGGAGGGCTGATCTAGGCTCAGATTTACTATGACTTTACTAATACTATGACAGATCCTAAATCAGCAGTCGTAGAGCCTGTTTCAGTATTTTTATTTCTCATTATTTTTTTAAATAAACATGTCCTCGCCAACTTTGCCTCACCAAAGTTGCCTCCCCCAAAGGAAGGCAAGTGAGAATTGTATTATTCATTTGTGCACTCGCCTTCAGCTATGTTAGCCTCAGTAAACTATCGAACTAGACATGCAGATTTCATAAAGCAAAGGGTATTTATTTATTTATTTTTTCAATGTAATGCACATGAAGTGAATTATAGCTTTAGTTTAGAACTGTGGTGTTTTGCCTCTTTTGTTGTTGCTAGCTGTCTAGCCTTTAGCTTTGTCATTTGCAGGTTTGCAGAGTAATGAAGTGGCATCATATATGTATATCAGAGTAGTTTGCTACCGTAAACCCAGTATGAGCAGAGGAAATCAGTTGTTATGGTTTTAAAATATGAAGCATTTTAAAGTACTTCATTGCTGTTTTATGAATAGCCTTGTAGGCCATTTGAGGGGCGGAGAGGTTGAAAAGGGAAAATGGCAGTTTGCAATGATTTCTGCTCAAGTTCTGCTGATGAAGTCGATTCATCAAGGGCTCATCAAACACACTTCACTTGAGCTAATAAAGTAATGAAATTTCTCTTAAAATATCTTTAGGCATTCCCCCCAAGGGGGAATGGTGAGGCCAAGTAGACGAGGGCTTGTTAAAACCAATACTGAAAGGGGTGGCTACTCTAGGAAGCTTCATGAATACAGGTCCTGGTCCGGTCTCTGTCGGTATTGGTCAGTAGAGAGACTATAGTGAAACTGTGATGTCTGAACATCTGACTGCATGTTTCTCCTTTTAAAAGGAGCTGTTCTACTCAAGAAACATATCTCAGACTTTGTTGGTGTAGCCATCTTCTGTCACTAAAGAGTTTCATCTTGATCTGTGAAGCTCTCATGATAATCTTCAATTTTATTTTATTTGGTTGTCTTTTATTTCAAGTTGTGGAGTGGGTATGACTGTGACAAGGTTGGATCCTCCCATCCTTTTGTAAATATATTTTGTTTTTAAGCAGTTTTTATGTAAATATTGAAATTGTACCACTTTTCTTTTTGCCTCCCCAACGCGAACGTCTTTCTTTCCTTCCATCTCTCTTGGGTCATCATCAACTTCTACTTTGTAGCTTTGATTTGTTTACTCCATTGTGTGCTATGTAATCCTGTTTCGACATGTACTGTATTCGGGTCCATATCTTTGGGACCTGAAATCGACTCATGATTTCTAACAAGGAGAACTGTTTGAAGAATGATAAAGTTTGGACAGCTGTGTTGTATTGCATATATGTAACTTGTTGCTATGAGGTACATGTCCAACTGGTTTTCTGTGACCTTGTTTGTCTTGTCTTCAAGGATGGACATTTGAACATGAACACTGAGATGTGCTTTGAAAAAAAGTGGTCTGACATTCTTTGTCATGAAGGGACAGTCTATGAGACGGAGCCAGCTGCTTGAAATGTTTACACCAGATTGAAATGGTGTAATTGGTCAACTTTGAGCCATGAAGGAGATGCTTTGATGACAGCGGATCATAGATGTCTGTGTTTTTTTTTGTTTTGTTTTGTTTTTTGTTTTTTTTTGGTACATCTGTGAAAACTGCTGTTTAGCATTCTCCCACATATGTATGTTCGAAGCTTGTATTCATAACACTTCCTTCTGATCAGAGATCAATGGTTGTATGTATCAAACTCTGGGTTGATTGACATGCTTGATACATACAGTGTTGGACTCTTCTATGTGAATGTGAATGCATGGGTTAAAATTGTATTTATTTTTTAAAACATTTTCAGTATGTGTACGATTGTGCAGTTTGCATCAAGACGGAGAGATGTTAGATGATGCAATGTCCTTTCCTCTTTCATTCTCTTCTATACTGTCTTTCACTGCATCAGGAGCCCAAGGTGAATGAGCGGCTTGAATGTTGACACAGAGAGATGGATGGAGACAATCTGTTTGTCCGTATGAACTGAACTAATTTAATAAAGTGAAAGTGAAGCTGAGGATTTTCACGGAAGCTAGTGTGAATGTTATATTTTTCTTGACGCTTTTATGAAATGCTTCGTTACAGTCATTATTGAGCGGTGGAAAATACTTTAGTAATCATACTTTATTATCCCTAAGTATTATTTTGGAAGATTTGTCCTTGAGTATTATTGTAATTGGTTACTTGTACTTTTTTCTTAATTACATTTCCAAGAAAAAAAACATACTTTTTTACTCCTTACATTTCCATTAGATCTTCGAAGTGCTCAATACAAATCACAAAGGCCAGGAGATGTGTTTCTTTTTCGATCCGTCGGTTCCCAAGCATTTAAATGTATTGTTTTAATTTAAACAACTAGCCAAATTCATATAAAACTGTGCTAATTCGTTTAATTGATGTTATGTTTTGACGTTCACTCAAGTGTATTTTTGGCTCTGTACTTGCACGTTTAATTGAGTAAGACTATCTCCTTTCACTGAAGACCATGGTAAAGTTAGTTTTATTTTTGATATTCGTCTTTTCGGCACTAATAACGTGATTGGACTACGGTAGTCAGTAAAGACTTACATATTCATGACAGTACGACCACAGAGAGTGAGGCACACCTGTTCTATTGCAGTTTGGGTGACATTTAACGTACCGCTATTTTGTGTTAATACCATAGAACTGAGACAAGTTTTTCAGTCGGAAGGAAAATCATGCACTTCTAGACCACACCTACATCCATGCACACGCCTCTGTTTTCCTCCAAAGCGTTTCAGTGCATTTAAATACATATTTTAATTGTTCATGCTAACAATAGACACCACCAGACAAAACGTCAATAGCTCCATAAACACTGTCCATGCACATCTGATCAATTGTGTTATTTGCTCTAAATTATGGTTAGAAATACACACCACTTTAATTTAGAAAAAGGACTTTGAATTAACCTGTAACTAAAATGTACTTGCCAATACTTGTCCTAACAGTACTGAGCGTACCTTACCTGTAAAAACTGATATTACCTGTATACTGATATAGCTAGTTAGCTTGATGATGGAGGTTCAGTAATCGATTAGCAGTCTTGAAGGTTCAATAGATCCTTAACCATCTAAAATATTAGTTTAAAAAATGAGTGTAGAAAAGAAAACGTCTTATTTAAGTGGATCAAATTGCAAATCAAAAGTTTTTTAAATCCATCAAACACTAAGTGAGTCAGATGTAAGTTTTAAATCTTGTACATTTTTTTCATTTTGAATTTTCGATAACATTTTAGACATTGAACATTCAAATCAGCAGTGTTTGGTGCAGATAAGTTTCAGTAATGACACACAAACTTTGAATTTTACTTGAGGATATAATGTAGCTAAAATACTGCTTAGATTCAAAATGCAGCATTCACTGCAATTAATGCAGCTGAAATGCTTTTGAAGGTTAGAATACAAATATTTATATAAAGTAATTATTGCAGTACATTCAAAACTCAAAAGTTGTGTATGATTGCTGTAACTTACCTGCACCATACACAATTGTCTGCAGTGTTGGGTGTAATACAGCTGAAATGCTACTGAAATTGAAAATTGATAAAAGTTAAATCAATATATCCAAAATATAAAGGTGGTGCATCATTGCTGACACCTTGCTGCACCATAGACAGCTGTTTATAATGTTGTATATAATTTAGCTGAAATATTATTGAAATTCAAAATACATAAAAATTAATAAAAAGTAGTCACAGCAATATATCAAGAATCCAAGGCTGTGCATCACTGCTGACATCTTGGTGCACCATACACAACTGTTTTTAATGTTGTAAATAATGCAGCTGGAATATTATTGAAATTCAAAATACACAGAAATTAATAAAAAGTAGTTACAACAATATATCAAAAATCCAAAGGCTGTGCATTATTGCTGACACCTCACTGCACCATACACAACTGTTTTTTAATGTTGTAAATAATGCAGCTGAAATATTATTGAAATTCAAAATACATAAAAATTAATAAAACGTAGTTACAGCAATATATCAAAAATCCAAAAGCTGTGCATCATGGTTGACACTGCACTGCACCATACACAGTTATTTTTAGTGTTGTATGTAAGATGGCCAAAATATTATTGAAGTTCAAAATAAATTAAAATTAATATAAAGTAGTTATTGCATTATATCCAAAATCCAAAGGCTGTGCATCATTGCTGACACTGCACTGCACCATACACAGTAGTTTTTAGTGTTGGATGTAAGATGGGCAAAATACTATTGAAGTTCAAATTAAATAATAAAAAAAAAAATAACGTATTTATTGCATTATATCCAAAATCCAAAAGGTGTGTATGACTGCTGACACTTCACTGCACTGTGCACAATTCTTTGTAGTGCTGTATGTAATGTTACTGGAATATAATTGAAATTCAAAATATATAAAAAATTATTTAAATGAGATATTGCATTAGATCCAAAATCCAAAAAATGTGTATGATTGGTGATACCTAGCTGCACCATACACAGTTATTTTTGGTGTTGTATGTAATGTGGCTGAAATATTATTGAAGTTCAAAATAAATAAAAATTTATATAAAGCAGTTATATATAGTTATATATAAAAAAAAAATTAAATGAGATATTGCATTACATCCAAAATCCAAAACTTGTGTATGATTGCTGACATCTTGCTGAACCATATACAATGGTCTTAGTGATGTATGTAATGTGGTTGAAATTCTATTCAAATTCAAAATACATAAACATTAATATAAAGTATAAAGCTATTTCAGCTAAATTATATACAACATTAAAAACAGCTGTGTATGGTGCAGTGCAGTGTCAGCAATGATGCACAGCCTTTAAATTTTGGATATATTGCTATAACTAATTTTTATTAATTTTTATGTATTTTGAATTTTAATAATATTTCCGCTGCATTATTTACAACATTAAAAACAGTTGAGTATGGTGCAGTGAGGTGTCAACAATGATGCACAGCCTTTGGATTTTTGATATATTGCTGTAACTACCTTTTATTAATTGTTATGTATTTTGAATTTCAATAATATTTCAGCTGCATTATTTACAACGTTAAAAACAGTAGTGTATGGTGTAGTGAGGTGTCAGCAATGATGCACAGCTTTTGGATTTTGGATATGTTGCTGTGACTACTTTTTATTAATTTTTATATATTTTGAATTTTAATAATATTTCAGCTGTATTACACCCGACACTACAAACAATTGTATATGGTGCAGTTAGGTTTCAGCAATCATACACAACTTTTGAATTTTGAATGTACTGCAATAATTACTTTATATTAATATTTGTATTTTAACCTTCAAAAGCATTTCAGCTGTATTAATTGCAGTGAATGCTGCACTTTGAATCTAAGCAGTATTTTAAATGTTCAATATCTAAAATGTTGAAATTGAAAAAAAAGGTCTGACTCACTGAGTTTTTGATGGATTTAAAAAAGTTTTGAGTTGCAATTTGATCCACTTAAATAAGACGTTTTCTTTTCTACACTCATTTTTTAAACTAATATTTTAGATGGTTAAGGATCTATTGAACCTTCAAGACTGCTAATCGATTACTGAACCTCCATCATCAAGCTAACTAGCTATATCAGTATACAGGTAATATCAGTTTTTACAGGTAAGGTACGCTCAGTACTGTTAGGACAAGTATTGGCAAGTACATTTTAGTTACAGGTTAATTCAAAGTCCTTTTTCTAAATTAAAGTGGTGTGTATTTCTAACCATAATTTAGAGCAAATAACACAGTTAATCAGATGTGCATGGACACAGTGTTTATGGAGCTATTGACGTTCTATTGTCTGGCAGTGTCTATTGTTAGCATGAACAATTAAAATATGTATTTAAATGCACTGAAACGCTTTGGAGGAAAACAGAGGCGTGTGCATGGATGTAGGTGTGGTCTAGAAGTTCATGATTTTCCTTCCGACTGAAATACTTGTCTCAGTTCTATGGTATTAACACAAAATAGCGGTCCGTCAAATGTCACCCAAACTGCAAAAGAACAGGTGTGCATCACTCTCTGTGGTCGTACTGTCATGAATATGTAAGTCTTTACTGACTACCGTAGTCCGATCACATGTTATTAGCGCCGAAAAGACGAATATCGAAAATAAAACTAACTTTACTGTGGTTCACTGAACTAGAATTTATCTGTCCTATTTTCACCACTGATTAAAGTCTTAACAATGCATACGTGAGGGCAGCGAGAGCGAGCTGCCCTAGAGAGAGGGACTGAAAATTCGTCATATTTTATAAGAACAGGTTGAAAACCACACTATATGCAATTAAAACAGGAGACTTAGGGTACTAAGTTTTCCCGGATTTGTTATGTGTTTTATTTGTATATTTTAAAACGAATGAATGGTGCACGCCCACTGCGTCTGCAGTTCTCATCATTTTCATATTAGACCACTTCGATCTGCCCTATAAAATTCAATTTTCTTTTCTGTTTTCCTCCTATTACCTGTGCTTTTAAGAGACTTGGATCAGGGCACAACACGATTCCAAACCGTGCGCGCCACTCGTGTGCAGTTGTCGCTGGTTAAATGACGAACGGTGAAACTCCCCTAGTTTTTGAACGCAGCCTCGCTGTGATTGGTGCAAAACCTGCCAATCCGCTTGCGTTTTACTGAAACGTGCACTCCGACTTCTTCCAAGAGTGTGAGATTGGAATATTTACAGTGAGTAAAATTCCATGTTAGATTGTTTGTAAGGCGCAGTATGTCTTAAGTAAATGTTTTGTGAGGGTACCTTTTTGTCATTCGACTGCAAGTAAAGAGTGGGTGGTCGTCGTTGTTTTGGCAAGGAGCATAGATACCAGCACCGCAGAAATGAGCGGCCATTACACCATAGAAAGCTGCATGTCCGCGTCAGATTAAGTCCTCCAAGTCCGAACACACAATGTAGCGAGTTCGAATTGCTGTATATCAGATCGTGAAATTATATTTAATCAGGACATAATGTTTTACACAGCCTACGGATTCCTTGTACTAAATAATTTCCCTAAACTATCGAAACTCCCTTCTAACAAGTGAACTGGATTAGTGGAGTATAAAGTCCCCCAACACTGGGCTGTGGAGCATTGGAGCTTGCATTCACTGGACTGATGGGGCACCATAGAATATTTTTGGTGCTTCCATCATCTAGTATAATACTGCAGTGGTTCAACATCTAGTGTAATACTGCATGCATAGTGTAATGCTGTCAGTCTCTGGATAAGAGCGTCTGCTAAAATGCTGTAAATGTAAATTCACATGTTTGCGGAAGACGGACGGCGGCAAACCGGATATTCTGTTGTTTCCGTAGTACCGCAATGACAAAAAATTCTGTTAGCGGCAGCGCTCCGTAGACCGCAGCGATGAGCGGAACGCTTCGTTAAGAGTTCAGTTTCCCCAACTTCTGCTGGTGCTATTTTTTGGGAGCCAAACGTGTCGTTGTTTAATTCCAGACGAACTCAGTATTATACAACACAAAATAAAAGAGTGCAAAGCGTCATCCGTTTTTCCACCTTAAATAAACAAACACTGCTAAAGCTCTTCTCTGAAAACAACTTTGGCGTGGCTTCCTGCCGCTCTCACACTTTCGAGTAAATAGAAGCATTAAACGGCTTCCGGTCGCGCTATAAACAATGGCTGATACTGCCCGAAATCATCGCTGCGTTCTTAAGTGCACAAATAATTAAACTAAACAGCCTTACCAGTGTTTACACTCGATCTAGTTTAAAAAAGTTCAACTCCAGCTGAAAAGTTAATGTCACTTTTAAAGAGGTAACCAATCAAAAAAGGAAGTAAAACTGAACTGGAGGCTGAACGTGGGCAGAGCAGCAGGACAGAGTTACTCAAATTTGTGATTAAAAATGCTCAGCTCCAAGACAAATATTTATTTACTGGTGTATTCACAATCCTGGAGATTGTCATCGCAGAGTTCTGCTTAAGAAGAGAAATGGACTCCTCATAGGATGCTGTGTCTCTGTCCTTGTTGTAGTGTTCAGGGCACCAGTGCTAATGTTGCTAATGTTTACATGGGCTGAGTAGGAAGAAATAAACCTGGTGGACTTTTTTCTTCTCCAAAATGAAGCGCAGTAAGTGTAAATGTGTTTATCGGATGTGTGATGTGGTGTTAAATGTAAAGATCCACTCTGCTCCTATGCTTTGCAAAACATCTCAGACAAATTCGTCACAGTTCAGATGCGGATTTTTGTGGAATCTGTTCCGTTGTCGAAATGCACCTGCTTTGACACGGAGATGCACTCCAAACGTGTAATGCCTGGCACAGACGTCTGCCGCAGAGTACTCTGTTGACTGGGCTTGCCCCTGAGCTCCGCACAGCGGTGAATACTTTTAGAATACTTACACACTTAGTGTGTGTAATATATATATATATGTACACAGATATATATATACACAGATATATATGTGTATATATTTGTGGACTACATGTTTGTGGACATCCCTTCTTTGATCTGCTTTAAATTGAAAATGGTACAAAAACACAGCTTTTGTTGTTTAACCTTTTGAACATTTTTTGTAAATATACGTTCATTCCAAATATGATATCTGCAGCAAGTTTCAAAAAAGTTGGGGCAGGAGCATGTTTAACACTGTTACATCACCTTTCTTTTTAATGACACTTAATAATCGTTTAGGACTAAAGACACCCATAGATCCAGTTTTAAAAGCAATAGCTTTTGCCATTCTTCTGTTGTACAAGTCTTCATATGTGCAGCCATATAGGGCCTTTGTTGTTGTATATTGAGACACACGTTTTCAAAGGGAGAGAGTTCTGGATTTCAGGAAGGCAAGTCTAGCATACTCCGCACTCTGATTAAACAGCTTTACTGCTCTAACACATGCAGAATGTGGCGTGGTGGTGTCATGTTGAAATAAGCATGGGAATCCTGAAAAAGATGGTGTCTAAAAGGCAGCAGAGGTAGCAGAGGTAGTGTCAATGGTGCCTTCACAGATGTATAGGTTGCCCACTAATACGCCCCATACCATGAAAGACCCTGTTTTTTTACACTGGTAACAACCTGGATGGTCCTTTTCTTCTTTGGTCCAGTGAACATGACATCTAGTATTTCCATAGATAAGCTGAAACGTTGACTTGTCAGAACAAAGTACACAGTGGACTGTGCATCAGTCCATTTTAGATGAGGTTGAGCCCAGAGAAGTCAGTGGCATTTCCAGAAAGAAAATAGTATGACTTCTGCTGTGCATAGTACAGTTCCAACTTGCAGATGCAGCGACAAACAGTGTTTATTGACAATTGTTTGTCAAAGTATTCCTGAACCCATGTGGTGATATCCATCACAGAAACATGCCGGTTTTTAATGTAATACCGTGTGGGTGAACCTTTGACAAAGACATTGATTTGTAGTTTTCGGCCTTTCCCTTTGCTCACATAGATTTCTCTGTATTCCCTGAATCTTTTGATGATATTATGCACTGTAGAAGGTGAAATGCCTAAAACCCTTGCAATCCCTGGTTGAGGAGCAGTACTTTTAAACTGCTGGATTTTTTGCTTATGCATTTTTGGCAAAGTGGCCTGCATCAACCCCTCTTTGTTCATGAAGGACTAGACCTTTCCCGGATGCTCCTTTAATACCCAATCATGACTGCATCACCTATTTAAGATTGAAAATTTCTCAATGTTTCTAGTCCTAAACTGCCCCTGTCCCAACTAGTTTGGAACATGTCGCAGGCATCAATTTCAAAATGAGTGTAAATTTACAAAAAAGTTACCAAAAATATCTTGTCTTTGTACTGATTTTGTTCAAATACAGGTCAAAGTAGATTTATAAATCACTGCTTTCATTTGTTTTTATTTGGATTTTTCCTACTGCCCTAGCTTTTTTGGAACTGTGTTTATACATTAAACCATGTATTTACACATTTAACCATGTATTTACAGCTATTGTCTACAGTAATAACTAGTAATAACTGTTTCTTTACTCAACAGTCTTGTCATTTTCTTCTCTTGATTGCTGTGTGGACAACTGTACTCAGCGACGTGCAGCCATTTACACTGGGGGGCAACATTGCACAAGTGATAAAACAAGCCTTTACTTACAGAGGGCCAAAAGATGCACCTGCTCCCCCTCCCAGTGGTTTTCTGCAGTGCTATGATTTTAATGGGCCTTTGTCAGGGAGTCTTTATCTCTCTATCTGGTTCTAGCATTCTAGCCTAGATCTCTTCATGAAGCACCCGTTGTGTTGATAATTTCATGGCTGCCTCCATTCACACCAGCTCTTCCAGGTTCTAGAAATGAACTGCACATCAACTGCCAACCCCCTCCCAATTCAGTTTAATCAGTAGAGGAAGATCTGCTCGGGAGCATGTCTGCATGCCAAAAGTGTTTAAAGGATTAAAAGTCAGAGCGGTTCCATCTCCCCACAGCATCCTCAAAGTCTGTGCATTGTTATGAGGCCGTTGGGGACTCCATCAGGCACGGCACACCAGCCTGGTTTAAGCTTGCCAAAAGCCTGAACACACAGTCCTGCCTCCCCTGCTTTTCCATCAGCGCCGGTTCAGCAGGCACCTGATACCCACTCGCCCCATCCTTCATCATTCTCCATCCTTCCATCCTTTCTCTGAGTCATCCTGCAGGCTCTCAGGTGGAAATACGGTAGATTATAGAAATGCAAAGTGCCCCAAACACTCTGGCAGTGCACAAATGTAGGTTAACAAGGATTTTGGCTCCTAAAATGGCTTGAAAACTGGGGTAATTAATGAATTGTCACATTCCTTTACTGTCCTATTATTTCAGAATGCTAGCAGAATCTCTGGGATGTAATGCTGTAGTTTATAAGTACAGTGTGACATTGCAGTCCCATTAGTCCAGTAGTCCCCAACCCTGGTCCTGGAGTACTGCCTGTCCTGCACATTTTAGTGTTTCTCCTGCTCATTAACTAATCCAACTAATCAGCTCATTAACAAGCATTCGTGATTCAAAGTGGGAACTGGGAAAACACTAAAATGTGTAGGGCAGGGGGTGCTCTAGAACCAGGGTTGGCAACTTTTGCAGCATCACTGATAGCCGTCACAAAACATATATGATACTGTTGTGCACTCTGCAGGGCGTGTTTTCAGTGTGCAGAAAAAAGGACCCCTAAATGCTGTTGGTAGGCCATACCTTATGTTCACTTAAACCAGATGCCCACTTAAACCAGAGAAAATAAGCATGCTCTCTGGTCAGAAACTTTAGTCTTTGTCAGAAAGTAGCTTTGTCTTTCGTATGGTTTGGTAGTTTTTGATATGGTTTGGTTGTTCTTGGCAAGGTTTGGTAGTTTTTGCTGTAGGTTTAGTAAATTACATATTTACAGCCTATAAATTGCTCCCTGTTCAAACAATAAAACAGCTCAAGTTTAACCATGTTAATTTGCCTAAAGGTTATTGTAGCCGTGCTTTCTTTTTTGCTTTTTATTAATTTAACTGATGTAATCACAGTGGAAAAATATCTTAAGCCCCTGTTCATCTTTCAAGAGAGAAGCCGTTCTATGTGTGGAAGGCTGCCACTTGGCTGACTTTATCAGTTTAGCAAACATGAATATGTGTAAGAAAAAAAGACGTTCCTCGTGCTGCTAGAGAATGTTCTGAAGCCAGGCTACATCTCGGGGCTGATTCAAAGCATAGACTAACATTACACATTAAAAGAAAACTGAAAGTGAGACAATTAGAATTACTTTTGTACATCTTAAAACACAGGACTGCATGGTCTTAGACATATAAAATCATCGACAAAACTTGCAGACACTTGCAATAGAGCCTGATGTCTGTAATTTTTTGTTCATCTTTATTAAAAAAATGTATCAGTACTCTTATTTCATTGTAAAGTTTTGGATGGCAACAATGGTGTTAATTTCTTGGTACATCCAAGAGGAAATTTATTTTCTACATTATTATCTCTCAGTCTCCAGGAGGACTTCAGGCACTAGATAGAAGGCTTGATGCATCAGAATAACAATTAACATAATTAGGAAATGATGCGAGAATCAACAAATCAAGTTTTGATTTTCAGTGGGTAGGACCACTTTGTGAGGAAAGGCCAGTCTTATCCTTCTGGAAGCCTTCTAGATATATCATTGACTGTGAATATGAACCGTTGTCTAACAAGCTTTCAGTTTGTTGTTGTTAATATATTTTAAATGCTTCAAATAAAACATGGAATGTCGTCTACAAGCTTCAAGTGTCTTCAAGTGTTAAATCTAAAACAAACATGGTCTTGTTCATCAGTGTTATCACAGGGATGAAAGCAGTATTAACATTGTAATTGAGGTGTTTTTATTGTTTTTTTGTTTTTTTTTAATTGACTTTTGATATTTATGGCCTGAACTGAAGTCCTAGGTCTGGCACAGTTTATTTAAGACAGTTGAATGATGTGACTGTGTAGTGAGATTATGTTACATGTCTCTGAATGGAGCATGAAATAGTTTCAGCATTTCTTCATATCAATGTGCATGTAAAATACATACGTCCACTTTTTTGGATACATGTGCACAATGTTAGTATTATTGTTATTTTCTAATTTTATCTTTCTTATTGGTGTTATAGATGATTAATAATAGTTTTGGTTAGTCAAACGCTAAACAAACATTTTTCTCAGGTGGTTAATCTATTACCCTCAAATTTACCTATACTCCTACCAGACATGAGTTTAATCGTACAGATACACCAAAGATAAATTTGATGAATAACAGAATTTGTGAAATTTGTGTGCGTTCATTTTATGTGTGTATTGTGTGCGTTCATTCAATTAGACCGTACGCACCTTTTGGTGAATAAGGACCAATGTGAAATAAGTTTTCTCAGTTTATCTTCGTTGTCAGCAATCTACAATGACTGTAACAAATTGCTATTACATCAGAGATCTATAAAACTGAGTCATATGATATAGATATATCAGCAATTGTGGCTCATAGCAGGAACATTCAATAGAGCGGAACATATCTAAGATCTTTCATATCCCCTTTGAGGCTGATTTTGTATTGTTTACCTCTTTTGTTTATCATTTTTTGCCTGCGTTGCTTGCGGAAATTACATCTATCAGCGTCTGTAAAGCTTTTAATTTGTCAAATATCCAGGTGCTTCTATGTGTGATTTGATATCACTAAAGCACCATGTTTACCAAAGTTGATATGCTGATTCATTGAGTTCATACACTTTGATTCATTATGTTTTCTTACCTACCAGACATTGCCTTTGTGTTGCATATGTGATTGGTGTCCACTGCCACTGTTTCTAAACGGCCATCTGTCTTCAGTGTCTATCAACACAAACACAAACACACACACACACACACACACAATCCAAGCTCTTTTTTCCTGAGGGAGTCCTAGCACGCTTGCATTCATTTCATTTGAGCATGTGCTCAATGTGATAGGGTCTTTGAACTGGTACAAGCAGCCAGTTCTTTTATGGCTGTGTCTTATTTTGAGTGGCTCACTCTAACAGTCATTCACACATACCCATTCTGCCATTCTCACTTCAATCTGTGTCGCACTGTGTAGGCGTGTGTGTGTGTGTGTGTGTGCGTGTGTGTGTGTGTGTGTTTTTAATAGGCCCTGAAGGATGGCTGACAGCACCTCCCTGTACATGTGTTCTTCATGTCGTCAACTCTTTGCCTCCCTGGAGGACGTTCTGGCCCACCACCTCACCTGCTACCTCATAGTACAGAACTGTAGTACCACAGCTTCTGCTCAGGTACTGCACCAAATGACCTCACTGGCTCTGCAGGGGCTCTAATGTAGTTCACTGTAATTGAATCCTGTCTATTATTGCATGTCTCACCTCACCTCGAAGGAAAACTCAGATATTGTCAACCTAATCTCCATCTGCTGCATTTGTAGCAAACAATCAGTTACCACAGACAGTACTCTCTCTTTTTCCTTTTGATTTTTTAAACCGTGTTTTCTCACCAGTTTATTCATGGCAAATTACAACCTCTAGCTAGGTCTTCTCACAAGCCAGACTTCTGCCTATCATCAGGGATCTGGTGCATTTCTGTGGCTTTGAGCCACCAACTTTGACAGGAATGGGCTGTTTGGCTGACATGCAAAATAATAATCCATGACAAATTAGTAATTGCTTCTCTTAAACAAGGAGTGTCCAGTCTTTTCTGCCAAGGGCTGGTGTGGCTACAGGTTTTCATTCCAACAAAGAATGAGTACATCTGATCAGTTGTTTGAAGACTAAGACCAACAGATTTAACAAGTGCAATCGGATGTGCTCTAGTTCCTTTGGAATGAAAACCTGCAGCTACACCTTTATGGATAAGATTGGCCACCCCTGTTTTAAACTGTAATGGAATTGCTTCCTGGAACAATCTCAGTAATCTCAGTAATGCTTATTACTTTACTTATACGTTACGCTCTAAAAGCCACACAAATCTGTTTCAGTTGCAAGGAGAAAACCCAACAGTCTGTTCAGTCCTTTTTTTTAGAAAAAAATAATCACAATAAACGCTGTATAAAAGGCATGTCACTGTCACTAGATTTGAACAAGACATGACCAGCAATGCTTGATCAAAGTCATTTTATAGTGCTACTTGAAACTAGCCAGTAGAAGCAGTTTAAAAACAGCTAAAATATTTTTTAAAGATAAATTATAAAGTTTGCAGAGCTATTTCTGAATGAAAATCGAGTCTGGCCTGGTTAGGTGAGGTTTTTGCTCTCTTTTCTTCACCAAGGGGATCTTAATCCATTTGCTACACATTATCATGAGTAGAAGCTTCAACAGATTGATTGATTGCAAGTTTACAGTGCTTCCTGTGCTTGTGCTGTGATGCTCATATTCACAATCAAAATCACACAGTCAGCTTTCAGAGGTAGCACACACACAAATTATGTGCAAAGGCAGGAAAGGATAATCTATGTAGAGACTTGTGTGTAATGCAAGTAACAACATTTTTATTAAGTCAGTAACTGCAATGCATTATACTACTTCATTACAGTAATTATTTCAATATAACGTGCAAGTTTGTACCCCCACATTCTGAAAAAGACTTGTTTTCGCATGATTTTTAGGGGCCAGTGATGTACAAAATGAGCCTACAAGAAAAACAGACCTGTGAGAAAATTAATGTGCATGCCAGCAAACAGTCAGGATATTGTATTTAAGAGCTTCAAAAAATATCTCTAAGATGGTTTAAAAATGTGATGCTGTGAGCTTTTTTTCAATCCAGCAAACAACATATTATGCTGTCCTGACAGCGTTACGTTACATTGATCTCCTGACTTCCCTGTATTTAGTAAATGCACCTGCTCAATGGCTTTAATATTTATATATTTCAAGTCAGTGTTTTGAGTGTTTCCTGTTCTATTCCAAGTGTAGAGAAATAATTATTTGAAGGAACATTGCATTTAAAAAGACATTATGGTTGTCATCATTGATGCACATTGCTGATTTATTGTAATCAGCCCATCTGACCAATAGTCATGTGAGCAGAAATCAGTTGCAGCAAAAGTTGAAATGATTTTTGAAACTTTTTCTAAGCATGCAGGTACATTTTCCAGGTTTATTATAACTGAATTGCATTTAGGGAGTTGCTTTTTTGACGCTGCATCAGCCTGTAGTGGGTTCGCTGGGGCTGTATTTGATTGTACAGCTCTAGATGTAAGTTTACAGCAGTGATTAGTTTCTCTTCCATTTTACTCTATATCTGGAGTGGAAAAAAGGGTCCCTTCAAGGTCACAGCTCGGCAGAGATTAGCATTCTGCCTCATTAAACACACCTGATTCAACTAATCAGCTAAATAGCCTTTATAAGTTAAACTCAGAGTGTTAGAAGAAGGAAAACAATAATCTCTGTAGAGTTGTGACCCAGAAGGAACCCAGTTTGACACCTTTCTCCACTCTGCTCTTCACTGACGTGACTGACTGAAGCGCCAGTCCCGACCATCTTTTATTTTTGGACGCATGGCCAAATCAGAGTACATTCTGTCAAAAGTTTAACTCCAGTGCACCTTTTCAATGGACACTGGAGTCTAATTTTTGCATATGTTCGTGTCTGCTGTCCATCAACTCTTCTTATTGAAATCAATGCCAGCGGTGCATTTTTGATGGATACCAAGATGTCCTTGTGAATGGGACCTAAATGACCATATGCAGATGTGAAAAACGGTAATTAGATGGAGTATAGAATAAGAACCTTTACCACAAATACAATGCACTGTCAGCTTGCTACTTAATTTGACATCTTAATAGAGCTAACTTGCCTGTCAAGATAGCAGAAGACATGGAATGATATTAACTGTCACACCTCCTAAATGACTCTTAAAATAGCATTAACATGAGAAAGTTAACTAGCATTAATTTTGCTATGCTGGGAAGCTGTATTTGTTTTGTAATGTTTGGTTTTATTTTGAATTCCCTGGATGAAGTAAATTTAAAAAGAAAAGCAGGGTCTTTCACTGCAGTTGCTACATGATCCATCACCACTTCTTGGCTTTTTACATCATTGTACAAGACTTAATGCAAATAGTGTGCCTCTTATCAAAAGATCATATAGAAATCTTCTTGCTCTTCATTTTGTAGTATAATTAGTTTCCACAGATGCGTTGGTATAATCAGGAGTTGTGTACCTCTAGGGTACATAAACAGACAGTTAAAATGTTCTCAGCGTAGCATGATCAAACAGCACAGCTGTGCTAGCTCAACGGGGAATTTTCTCAGGGTATGTAAATAGTGAATTAGACCATGCTTTAACGCTTATAGGGAATGTTAAACTAACACACTTGGGCCTTGGTGAAGCCAGTGGCACAAAACCAATATGATTACTTATTGTGTTTGCATTGCAGTCTAAATCAGCATTCTGCATTTGCGTGTGTAATTACAGAGGCACCTGTAGCTTGGTTTACATGATGCAGGGATTGCTGTAGTAAACGAAGTATCTGAACCAGATTAAATCTCAATTGTGATTTCTATTCAAACTGTAATCTTGTTTGTTAAAGATCTTTTGCGTGGCAAAGAACATCAAATCATTTACACCTTTGATATTTATCTGACTGGTAATGTTAAAGGGGAATTCTGTCGCTTTTTCTACATTTCTGCGGAATTAGACCATTAAGGTGTGAACAAAGTGATTTAGAGTGTTTTGATTTGAAATGCACTGTTCAGAGTCAGAATTGTTCAAAGTGGTGGTGATAGAAAGCAAACATTCTAAGCATTTAATGCCTTTAAAAGCTCCCTCACAGAAAGTTATTACATGAAATGGAAACAAATATATATATGTGCTGTATACATCACGGCCCCTGGTTCTTATCACCACCACCAGGGCTGGGTAGTAATGGAACACATGTAACAGCTTTACGCAATTATGATATAAAAAGTAACTGTAATCCGTTACAGTTGCAAAAAAAACTGTCCGAAATGTGAACAGAGAGCGAATTAAGTCTCTTGAGCTGCTAAGTTAGTTTTGTTTTCACGTGTTTGATTTCTTTCTTCAGTAGTTTTAGAATGATTGTCAATATGCTAACATGTGTAAATGCTAATTATGTGTAACTAAGACGATCAGCTAACTAACAGGTAGCGTTTTTAGAATAACCTTGATTTATGATTACTGTTGAAGAGGGATCTCAAAAAAATTATACCAGATTGATCTTTTAATTTCAGCGTGATAAACAACAAATTTTAATTAAAATAAGGCAAATAAGAAAAAAGTCTCAGGACAGAAGTATGGTTTTTAACTATATTGCATTTGATCCAATGTCTTAAATCTTTCTACATTGATTACTTTTCCTCTAAGAGCTTTTAGTCTCAGTGTACTGATAAAAAAGAATCCTATTAAAATCACTCAATTTTTATCCTGGGGAGCAAAACTCCTTATACAAAATTCCTTATATTGCTTCATTTAGTTTTGCTGTTTTACTAAATGTGAGATCAGTGACCATTTCTGTGAGGCACAATATTATACCTGTACTCTATCATTTTGCTTTATAAAACAGTGTGGTTTTTGTTTGGCATGTGTTAAGTTACATTTTTTTAAAAAAGTCTTGATGAAATTATTTTTCGCTTTTTTTTAAATTTAATTATACATCTTTTATTAAAGAAAAGTAATCCAAAAGTAACAGAAAGTAATCAGATTACATTACTTTCATATAGAAATAATTTGGGTTAAGTTACAGTTACATTTTTTAACAGGTAATCAGTAATCTGTAATTGAATACATTTTTTTTTAGTAACCCTCCCAGCCCTGACCACCACTATAAAGAAACTGAAGTTAAACCACACTAAATGAATTTGTTTACATCTCAGAGTTATATAGATGTTTTGAAAAATCAGTGGAATTCCCCTTTAAATTGTTCATTGTTACCTTTCTACGAGTACAAGTAATAACAGGCTCACAAATTACACGGACGTGCACTGTAACATGCTAAGAATTGACATTAACAGCAGTAGACCTTTTTAAGCTGGTTTTGAAGGTGTTATTTTTCTTGTCTTTTCTTCACTGTATTAGCAGGGAGTTTTTTACAAGGTTGAATTGGTTACACACTGTTATTTTTGTTTTAATGTGCCACATTTTCAGACTTGCAAACAGCACACACCTCCCATATACCTCTCTTTCCCATAATCCAAACGTTATTCGATTTTCCCTCTGTGAATAAATGCCATTAAAGTTTTAACAGATTGAAGGAACAATCCTTTTATAAGCAATAGAGAATTTAAACAGGTCTTTGCATTAGAAAACACAGGTGCTGAATTTACAATAGCTGTGAAGTTTTATGAATGGGTTCCAGTCAGCAGTTTTTTATTTATTTTTTTATTGGGCTTTAATTTGGGTTAATTAAATAGAACATAAACTTTGCAACATTGCAACAGAAGGCAAAACAAAACTAAATCAAAAGGGAGGGATACATCACTGTTTGAGCAGCCACATCAACTAGGAGTTGCAATTTTGTCATCCCTTTGTGTATATTATAAATCAAAGCATTGCAAAGGTGTAGCAAAAGCTTAGTTTCAGGGCAAGTTGTTTAATTCTTACTATTATACTACTACTATACCATTATATACTTACTCTTAGATATACTATTAAAATACCAGTGTATTGCTATTTTGGTTGCCCATCTGTGCCCAATTGCTGTGAGTGGAGTGGCGCAGCAGGGGGTGTGGCATTTGTAATCCACTGGCGCAGGTTGATTTTCTAACCCAGTTCACTCTAAAATTGTGCTGCACTACTGCTGCTTCAGACCCACTCTTCCCACAAACACTAATGCATTGTGATATTTTCATGCACAGGTGTAAAGACATGTCCAGTTTCTTACAACTCGGTTCTGTAGATATGCACTCACTTCAATATAAATAAGCAATTTCACCCCATTAATAAATAAGAGAAGAGACAAAGTTCCATTGTGCATCTTTAAGCAATGCATTTCTGACAAGAGCAGCTTTTATTAATGAACTACTTTTAATTGCAGCATTTGACTGTAGAATTTAGTGATTTTATCTGTTTCAGCTTTTTTCATTGTTTATTCTTTATTATTTTGGAAGTTTTATTTGGCTTAATTTCCCACTGTTTTTCCTTTATTGCCTTTGTATTAGTTAGTGCATTGTAGAGTGCTATATAAATAAAAAAAATTATAAAAGCAATAAGCCACTTTCAGACTCTACAAATTTATAATCACTACAGAGGCAAGAAATTAACCAATATAAATGCTCTGACCTCCAGAGCTCACACACGAACCCTCACATGAGTGCAACCCACCCTCACACAAGAAGAAACTAATAAGAAGTTACGTCAGTTTTATATTTACCTCCAAAATATTAATTTAAACTCTGTAAAATTACAGTTTTTTCACTATATCTACATCTATAGAAGTAATTGAGAGAATTTGTTTTCTTTAGAGATGCTGTTGGGAAAATGTTACTGTGTTGCAGGCTCACACTTGGCTCCTGAAGGGAGTGAGAGGAAGTGATCTGAACAGGTGTCGCTGTAGCACACCTTATCATGCCTGTTGATAATGTATTCATTCTAATTTCACACACTTTTGCAACTGAGCTGCGTTAGTGCTGGCCTTGAAAGTCAAGAAAATGCAAAAAAATATTTCAAATACTCACACTTGGCAGCAGAATTTTGCATCAGGATTTTTATGTTTGTGCTGTGACCATGAAAGTAGGACCCATAACATTTTATGTTTTCAATAATTTGCTCAGTGTGTAAACCCCTTTATAGCTAAATACGTATTATTATTATTATTATTATTATTATTATTATTATTTGAATCTTAATCTTTCGGTGGACTTTACTTTCTCAGACTCCTCCAGACTTCCAGCCCAAATCACCTATCTCCTCCCAAGCACAACCCAGCCTTAACTGCCCCCAGCCCTCAAACCATGGATCAGAGAGCACCACCTCGACGAGCTCACTGAATCTACCCAGAGACTCAAACAACCAAACCCAGAGAGCCCCTCCTGTTCCCCTCATCCGCTACCAGTGTGGTGAATGTAATACTCTGTTTCCTTCTCTTAATCAGTGGCAACAGCACATCAAGTTGGGCTTATGTGGTGTCACTGTATCAGAGGGGAAAGAAGGAGGTGAAGATGAGGTGAAACCCAAAGCAAGTGAGAGACAGAATGAAGAATACTCTGAAAACGGAGACATAGTGAGGGGAAGTAACTGTCAAACCACGGATACAGAGGAAGGCAATGGAACAAAGGCTGAGACAGTGGACAGGCTGACGATGAAGCCTGGTCCACAGGACAGTGCTCAAGCTGATCCACGTCATGGAGAAATGACCAAAAATGGAACTTCCACCCAGCAGAGCAACAAACTTCTTGAGAATCTTGGGAACCAACCAGATGAAGATTCTCTAGCTGCAGGCTTTGCCTCTGGTACCTTGGGCCCAACTCCTGCAGACACCTTCCTCTGCATGCAGTGTGGCTCAGGCTTTAAGTCAGAGGAAGCACTGGCTGCTCACCGCAGCACCCATCACGGTCTTGAGCGTATGTTGCACTGCTGTGTTGTCTGCAGCCAGGAGTTTATGAGCACTACACAATTCCTCTACCACCGACGACAGCACAGAGAGAAAGGAGAGGGGTTACCTGTCACAGTAGCCCAGAGCACCAACCCTGTATCAGGATCCCTCAGTAACATCACAGGTAGGGACCTGTTAATGTGGAATACTCTTTGCTTGAAAGGAATGTAAGAATACTGTACTGGAATGTGATAATTCTCACAAATGTTTAAGTAGTGCATTGTTTTTACTGCATGAAAAATGGCACAAAACTCATCCCTGTTGCCAGAAAACTGGATCTCCAAAGCTGTATTGGAGAAGGTCTGTGTATCAGTTTGTTTAGCGATGCACCAAAATGAAATTCATCTTAATTTTCCCTAGCTCTGACGCTGGCCTTAATCCTAAACCTAACCCTCGCCCTTGTCCTAAACTAACCCTAACTTTAAAGCTGCTGAGTTTCACCAGACAGATTGTTAATAATTTAAACATATATAGATAATTAATTTAGGCTGTCTAAAAAAAGTGGGACAAAACATCTTATGACAGTAACAATAGTGAAATGTCTTGATGTTTTTCCCAGGTAGCACAGGTCAGTCACAGGATCCTGCAGGCATCCCTAATGAGCAAGTAGTCTCTACTCCTGAATCGGCCCAACCCTCCTCACCTTTACTTTCGTCTTCTAACCAAACCTCCTTTCCTACGTCACCTGCTACAAAAAACAGCTCCAGAACTCCGTGCCCAACCTGCGGCCAGGTCTTCAGGCGCCGCTGCCACATGCACGCCCACATGCTCCGACACAGTGGCCAGAAGCCACACCTCTGTGAGGTGTGCCACAAGACCTTTGCCCCCAAGAGCAACTTGGGCCGCCATCGCCAAACACACACGACCCGGCAAGCCCACATGTGCCAGCAGTGCGGGCAAAGCTTCACTCAATCAGGCACACTCAAGAAGCATCAGCTGCTGCATGCCAGCGAAGAGCCTGTGACGGAAGTAGGTATAGATGGGGAGCTAGAGGGCAGCAAAGAAAAGACGGAAGTGGGTAAAGGAAAAGAAGAGACATCAAGAACACTGTTTGTCTGTTCAGACTGCCCAAATAAGTATCGCACTCGGACACAGCTTCTGGTGCACAGGTGAGTGTTTTGCATTCGCAGTTGTTCTGGGCAGCATAGCAAGTGGTATAATGATTGTGGTCTGCTTACTGTCTTTATAACTGGCAAAGCAGTGGTGATATTTATAGAACCTGCATAGGCACCATCATGATGAGTGTTGGTCCTAACAAACCCTGTTGTGGGATGTGCATGCTTGAAAAATTTGGCCGGCCAAGTTGGCTTCTGGTTTCATAACTTGTTTTATTTAGTTATAACAAAGCAAGCCATTAGGAAACAAATCTTTATTTACAATGGCAAGTAGAAAAAAAAAACTTAACAAAATATGCAATATGGAATATGTAATAAGTGTATTATGTGTAATATGGAAATATAATGATATAATATAAATATGATATCTTTAGGAATAATACAGGTACATGTATCACTAAAAAGGCTTCCTAAAATAGCATGTAGGCTTCAGGCTATAAATGAGCTGCTATGTGCAAAAGGATTAGGCTGTGACTTTTCATATTTGACAATAAAAAGCGGTGATATTTTGCCAGACAGCATGTTAATTACTAAAGCAGCCTCTCTTGTTGGGTTTTTGACAGTATTAGATGCCTGACATTGATCATGATGCAGCCATTAACCATAGCCCAGTGGTGTGAAATATTTTAGCTAGATGACAAAAATTCAATGGAAGCTGTGCACTGCACTAATCAGCATAGGCTAACTACCACTGACATTTTTATGTTCAAGGCTAAAGCTGTGCAACATAAATATAACTGTTTGAAATGATTTACAATGTAGGTTAGCCTATACATGGCTGTTGTTGCATATGCACCTGGAGTCTTGATTTATTTATTTTTTTATTTCATTGAAAACTGGTCAAACTTTTATGCTTGTCCTTATTCTCTCCTCATCCCTTATAGAAGAATGACTCTTACCCTTCTTGGCCAAGTCATGCAAGCATTAAAACCTAGAATAGACTTCTCCGGTTCTTGACCACTCTAGTCCAGCTTAAAGCCACGGTCTGCTGCATGACCTATACACCCACTCCAAACACACACACATACAAATTGGGACAGCACAGATAAGCACTGGCAAGGGAAACCTGCCCCAGCCAAGCCATGCGGACATGACCCAGCAACAGGCCGGGCGTATGCCCATAAATTAGGGTGCGTAAGCGGAAGTAATGCCACAAGCGTCATGTCTCATTAGCTTTCATGGCAAGGAGGCCCAATTGCGTTACCCTGCTGCTTGGCTTCAGTGTCGTTCACACTGAGTTGCTCTGCGTCCTCAGCTGACCACGTGTGAGTAGGGAGGGTAGAAAGGGTCAGTGATGTTACATAGTCCCTATTTATGCCTCCATGCAGTTCACTCCCACTTTATTAAGTCCCTCCAAGTCCTCATCAGAAGGGAAAAAAGTTAAATGAAAAAGGGAAATGAATATTCAGTAAAACACACCAGAGACAGAAATGACATTTAACTGTAACTTATAGATCTCTAAATTCATGTTTTTCTGTAGTTGACATCATGCCCACACCAGGCCCTCTGGGTCTAAGCTGGTTTTCTCTAGAGGAAAAAATGCTGGCATTTTTTTAAAATCACCACTGTTGTGACCTATGATAAACAAAATACGCATGTCCTGTGTATATTTTTCCTCCAACTGTCACTGGTTAGGTTGCTAAAGAATCAAAATACGAATATTGCTACATGCATGCTTTAGTTTTATTTAGGTTGAATAAATCCATATAATTTACTTCCCACATAAAATAATTTTTCAGGGTGATCTGATGAACCATTTTTTACAGTGAAGTTAACACTCCTGCATATTGAAATTATGTAAGTTAAGTGACCCTTATTAGTCCCACAACGGGGAAATTTCACCTTTCACACATTTAACCCATCCGTGCAGTGAAACACCACATACACACTAGTGAACACACACACACTAGGGGGCAGTGAGCACACTTGCCTGGAGCGCTGGGCAGCCCTATCCACAGCGCCCAGGGAGCGGTGGGGGGTTGTGTGCCTTGCTCAAGATATATAAGTCACAAACTGTCGGCTCAGGGGATCGAACTGGCAACCTTCCGGTCACAAGGCTGGTTCCCTAACCTCCAGCCCATGCCTGCCACTATGTAACTTCAACACTATTATATACCAAGATCAGCTGCTCAAACTGTAGCCTACTTTTGCCAAAGCAGCTTAACCACCACATTTGACAAAGTTTCCTGGTTTGTTCCAGGTGTTTTAGTGAGTCTTATGAAGTAAGTTCATGGCACAGGATTGTTAACTTGCATGTAGCAACATTCATTTCTCTCTTTAACAAATTTGTAAATCAGAGGATCCAATAATATTTGGGGTCAAAACGCATGCATGGTAAAATGCATCATGTTTAGAACACTTTTGGTCGCCACAGGGCACGAATGCCATTTATTTTTCCTGTAGAGAAAACCAGCTTAGACCTGGAGTTCCTAATATGGGTGTGACACCAAAATAAATGACATCACAACATTAGAGGTCTACTGAGTGAAACCCTGTTTCACCAATGGGTCTGTTGAATCTGATTGGTTCCTATTACTCTTGCAGGTTTGTCCACACTGGGCAGTACCCGTTTTCCTGTTCTATCTGTGGGGAGTCCTTTCCACGTAAGAAGAGTCTGCAGCTCCACGCACTCTTTCACCAAGGTCTGTTAAATATAAAGGTGAAGGTTGTGTTTGTCAAAAAGAAAGAGTGAGGAAAAAAACATCAATCAAGCCTAAGACAAATTTAGGTGTTATTTACGTAATACGTGTGCTATGTGAGTTGTTAGTGAGTGAGAGAGGTTAAGCCTTAGCTGAGGGTTGAGGTGATGACTCAGTTATTGTGGATATATTTGTTGTTTGTTTATGTGGGAGATGTGCTGCATTCGCAAATGCAGTTCGCAGTTCACATCATGCGTGTGTGTGACTCAACCTAAGTGAACTGAAGCTGTTCTTTTTTTTTTTAAGTCTACTCATGACAGTCGCCCCACTGTGTCTGCTGTGTGTTTGAGTGTGCATAAAACGACTTAAAATATTCCTACCTGCCTTTGTTTGCATGTAGCATGTCTTTCCACCTCCTTGCATGCCTGCTGAACTGCCCTCGCACACGTTTAGCAGCTGCACACCGCCTGTAACCTCCTTTAGCCCTTGTTCAACCAGGATGGGAAGTTAAGTGAGATTGAGGGAGAGACTCCAACTCCACCTCACCGCTTTTCGGCATAATTGCATTAATAAACGCAAACTTGTCCAGAAAATAAAACAAACCCACTCTGCGCAAACAGCGGCGTTGGCAGAGGGAAAGGCGAAGAGAAGATGTAGCGGAGCGGAAAACATTGAGTTGTCCCATGCCCTGCAGGCTCCGCTTGTCTTACTGCTTGCCCAGTGCTGCCTGCCCTGTTCCGCTATGCGTGATGGATCTGGAGCGCAGTGCTGCTGCCTCTCCGCTTGACCCATTAGCCACTGATTTATGTCGTCTCTGTCTTGCTTTGTTACTGTTATTAAGGCACTTTGAAGCAGCGCGAAACATCAGCGGGTGTCAGGCTAATATAGCAATTGTAGGAAAATAGGCTTGTATGGCCACGCCATTGGCTGCTGTCTTTCAGGTTTACTAATGAAAGCGAGCCAGTCATGTTATTATTTTGCATGGTTTGACATTGAGGTAAAGTGGGGGTGCACAATTTTTCTGTAACATTTGCAAAACATTCCTTGCTGTGCATATATGAAACGAGGCTGACGTTGGCTTCTTATTTGCCAGCTTCTTTTTCGAAAGTTGTGCCCTACATGTAAATGTAACTGCCACATCATTTAAGGTTGAACAGAAAATTAGAATGAGAAGCTGGCAAATATAGCAAATAAAAAGGTCACTATAGCTTTATATATATATATATATGTGTGTGTGTGTGTGTGTGTGTGTGTGTGTGTGTGTGTTATTTAAGAATTTGGCCATTGTATTTGTTTTTGTAAAATCTCATTAGACAGATCCAGACCACCATTATCCTTAACTAACTAACCTAATAATATTAATCCTATTGATAATGCACACTGCCCTGTGATGGACTGTCGACCTGTCCTGGTGTATCCTGCCTTCCGCCCAATGACAGCTGGGACAACTAGGCTCCAGCACCAACCCCCATCAATGTGTGTGTGTGTGTGTGTGATAATGCACACAATAATTAACTGCCAGTGTTGTGTGGGAAATGTGTAAAGGCTACTATGCAGCAAAAAAAAGTCTGTACTTGTTGCACATGCTGTCATAGGCAGTATTTTAATATTATCATTTATCACTTCTCATATCGTCATTGCAGCATCCAGTTTTGGCAGACATTGCATTTTGGGTCCATATTGAGCAGTCCTAATGAAAACATAAAGACTAAAAGACTTTTTTCCAGTTTTTCTTTTATCTGTTTCCACAGAAGTCTTTGTCTTTTGTAATATACTGTTTGTAACTTCTCAGGAAAGCAGCCAGTTACTTGCCCTTCCTGCTCTGACCAGTTCCTAGACCAAACCTCATTAGACACTCACCTGCCACTATGCAAGCAGAGGGAGGCTTCAGGTCAAGAGGTGGACCCTTCCGTTTTGGGAGTAGCCAAAAAGAAGACCGCCGGTGGGGACAGGCGAACAGGGAAGTTGATTTGTGACCTTTGTGGTCATCGCTGCGTGACACAGGAAGGACTGGACCTTCATAGACTCGCCCACTCTGGACAGACGCCCCTGCGCTGCCCACTGCTGCCATGCAAACGGCGCTTTACCTCCAGCTCTGCTCTTCAGGAGCACATGCTCAGCCATGGCTCACCGACCCCTGAAACCGATGCCATCGGAGCTGACCCAAAGCCCCGTCCACACCACTGCCAGCATTGTGGGAAAAGTTTCACCACTGCCTCTTCACTTAATGTACATCTTAGGATTCATACAGGAGAGCGACCCTTTCAGGTCAGAGGCCACGGATTATTTATCAGGACTTAACTGAATGCTGAGGCATACAAAGCATGTTTTAACTGAACAGCTTTGGCTGTGTTATGCCTGATTTAATGAGGCACATTTTCAAGTTAACAAGTGGTTTAAATGTATGCAGTACAGAACTATTTTAAAGTGGAAAATGAAAGCATCCCCACAGTCTCTAATATTTGTAGTGCCAGTATTTTCACTATATGTAAAGTAAGCACCTTTCTCAATAATATGGGGACTCAATATTAATTGGGATCAATACTTCGTGCTTGAATCTGGATTGAGGGCAACAAAACTTTGATTATGACATCCATAACCTGGAGTAAAGCAGAATTTAGTATATAAAGAAAATACTTGGAATAAAAATACATTAAGAAGGTCAACAGATTAGAATGTACACAATTTTTCTGGTATGATTTAGCGTCCTCTCTCATGCTCTCTATCTTCCTCCCCTTATTACCCTCCCCCCCTCCCTTTGTCCCCATTTCTGTTATTCCTCCTGTTCTTTCTCCTCTGCTTTCTCTTCTCTCTCTTTTACCCCCACTTCTCTTTCCCAGTGCGGTCAGTGTGGTAAACGTTTCCGGCAGATCCCTCACCTTCGGGACCACGAGCGTCTCCACACCGGGACACGACCCTTTGTGTGCAGCGTGTGCAGCCGGGCCTTCTTACTGGCCGCACGCTTGGCCGAACATGCCCGTACCCACAGTGGAGAAAAACCCTACCAGTGCCCAGTGTGCCATCGTGCCTTCCGTTCGCTCTCCAACCTGGGCAAGCACCGCAAGACACATGGTTTAGCCTTGGGCACTGAGCCCACTGCTGCTTCCATGGAGATGGCTAGTGCAGAACAGCAGGCTGGGGTGGGGGCAGTATCCACAGGTCCAGCTGCTGTACACACTATCTTGTTGGTCCAAGCACCAGAGACCATGCCTCAAGATACTGGCCCTAATCCTGCTCAAAATGTCACACCTTCTTCTGCACCTCTGGTCTTTCTACAGCCTGTGGTTAGGGAGGAGCAGCAAGGGGTTTTGGCTCCTGTCCTGCATCATGCCGTAGAGGTAGTGGTTGCGGAAAACCATGAATAGAGATCAACAGACCAAGTAGAGATCTTAGCCATCTCAAATGGCTCTTGGTTCTCAGCTCAGAACAGAAAGGAACAAGAAAGGATGTTGGCCCAGATTAGTTCATGGGCAGATAAGTTGTATGGGTTGCATGAGTTTGGTGACAACGATCAGAAGTAGAATCTGTTTCTGGGTAGATTTTATGGAGCCTAACCTTATCTTATATTGGATTACATCATACTTTTTACATAAAGACAACATGTATACAGGTCCTTCTCCCACTGAGCTTTAACAAAGGATAACAATGTAGCTTGTATGTTGTAAATTGAACCATAGAATTGAGTGAATATATTTTTATTAATGGCTAGATGTTTTAAGATGGGATCAAAATGTGTTGGTTCTGGGGAACAGAGTAAGACGAGAAATTTGAACCATGTCAGAGTTTCAACTAGGTCATGATAGTCATAGTGAAGGGTGCCCCTCTCTTTAACCTTCTTGTTCATCTCATTTTAAATCTAGAAAGATTCTGAGCTCCATAATATATAAACCAAAGTCAAGATGTTGGCCATAAGGAAACAGGAACAATGGAAGACTCAATATGGATGGTATCAAATGTGCTTAATTCAATTACAATGTCACAGACACAGTTCCAAGACAAGTATGTCATTTAGGATGAATGTGAATAAATGAATGGATTATATACATCATCTTTGAATGTGTTAAAACTGTACTTTGTTTTTTTTTTTACGGTGTAGTGGTTTGTAATACATTACTACTCAGCCCATGACAATTTAATTGGTTTTATTGGCAAAAAGATAAAGGAGAGTCAATGGGCAGTGATTAATTTACATTGTTCCTTTGTAAATCTAAATTAGTCAGCCCAATATATCACTTGTCTTTGTTGCATTTTCATATAATTTGCTTGAAGGATCCCTGACATTCAAACCGTAATGACAAAATGTCTTCTATGACAAACAGAGTCTCAGTACAGCAAGTACTGCAGCCAGCTTTTCTTCCAGTACTGATCCGGTCGTATCACCTTGGATACTGAGCGACTGGGGAGATTGTTTTGGGGGGGGGGTGTATATTATGAGATGGCTGTGTCTATATGTGGATGGTTGGCAGCTGTTCTGGAGAGCCAGCCAAAGCCTAATGGTGTCAATCTCGCCAGCCTTTTCCTCCGTCTAATGCCCAACACACTGACCTCAAAGTGCTGCAGATCCTGGATTTAGCTAGCCCCCTGCTTGTGTCCAAGCTCAGGTCTGCAATGCAGAGAAAAAGAAAGAGAGAGAGAGGTATAAAAAGAGAGGGAGGGTTTTGCAACTGGGCAATGACAACATCCAACAACGCCCTGAGGCACTGAGGCATCCCCTCCAATGTTTATCACTGGAGCATCACTTTAGCCAGACAGCATTACTTGAAACAGTTATAGGCCAACAAGGATTGTTTCCAAATTATTCACAGTTTGCTTCCCTTTCAAACTGTTCTGAGAGCTCTCCTCAGGGGGCAGATGGCGGCAGTTACCTTATGCCATCATAAACACTTAGCAACACAAGCGTTAATGCTAATTATTCATTGCTAGTTCATAAAGCTTATGTGCAATTGAATTCATGAGTATGTGAGTCTTCCAAAACTCGCTGTGCTTTGGCTGTCTGCTTGTGTCCATTCTGTTGCATTGTAGGTTATGGTGCCTGCGTCACCATGATAGCCACTGATGTGATGGAAGTGACAGGAGGCGAGCGGCAGGGGAGGAGGCATGAGCGATGCTTGTTTAGACTGAAGGAAGGCTGAGGGTAAATAGGTGAGACAGAGTGTTTAACCTCTACTTGGGCTGCTGGGCTTGAGAGGCAGCGCATCACATGGGCGACTGCTCCAATGTCAGGTTCGATGTGTAGCAAGCTTGGTTGACAGTGTGGGCCTGGTGAATGACAGAAAAATGGTAGCCATTTCTTTTTCAGCTTCCAATAAAGCAATCAGTGTACTTTAGTATTTCACTCTGTAATTTGGTGGTTTTAGTGTTTTGCTAATTGCCAGAAAGTAAAAGGCATTTCCACCTCAAAATGGGGTATGTTAGCAACTCCAGCAGGAGGCTGTCAGAAGCCAATAAAAGCAAACAGCTTTTGGCCAGTGCTGCCAGCGACAGTAACAAGTACTGTAGCTTTAGAAATGAGATTAGCATAGACAACCTCCAAGAGACAAGAAAAATACAGGGATACACACCAATGGCAAAGCTAATCAACTCTCCCTCCAGGGCCCTGGGGTAACAGACAGACTCATAAAGAAATCACGCTTCTCTTTAATGGTCTCAATCTGAAATAGTCTCCATTGTGACACAAAACCTCAGATTCAACTTTCAGCTCTTGAGCTTTACCGTGTGAAGTTTCACTTATATTCTTGCAGAATGTGCTGAAAAGGAAGCCATAAACATTAGCCTCTCAGTCATTTACACATACATTTTGTACATTGCTTTGTGATGCATAGAAAAAATGAAAGTTTTGAAACTTTGTGTTAACCTGTTTGTGCCTTATAAACAGGGCTCTGAATCTGAATAATCTAATAAAATAAATTTATCTAAGCAAAACTAACATTTTAATGTTTCTGCTCTTGGATTCCAACTTCAACGTAACATCTCTAAACTGTTTAGAACAGTGATGTCCAATGTTATCCACAAAGAGTTGGTGAGGCTGCATATTTTCATTGCAAACAAGCAGGAGCACACATGATTCTATTTGGTTAATCAGTTGGTCTCGGTCTTCAAGCAGTTGATCAGGTTTGTTGGTATGAATACCCACAGCCACACTGGCCCTTTGCCGATAAGATTGGACACCACTAGGTTAGAACAAAACTAAAAACTGTTTAAAAAAAGTTTTCTGTTTAAAAAAACTTTTTCCTGTATGTAGGCCTGATATGACTGACTGTAGGTTCAAAAAGTGATTAGACCTTGCAGTTGTGTTTGTATTGATGTGTGTGGATGTTCACACACACACACACACAAGCTGGAAGTTTACTTTTTGTGAACCAGTAAGTTTCTTAGTTAGTGTCAGATAGCTTATAATTATTTACCAGAGGGTATGGTAGCAAAGAGGTCCAAACTTACTTAGGTTCTTGTCTAGTGCATACTTTGACATAATTAAATTTACGTTAAGGGAGATATTAGCTCTATTTGCCTTGGTTCATCCATAACAGTAGACAAAAAAGCTGGAAACGCTGAACTACACTGTAAAAATGGTTTGTTGAAACTAAAAAAAGACTTCATTTGATAATTAAATGGTTTTGTTTAAGTCAGTTAAATGAATGGAAACATGAAAAGCAACATTGTTTTGTTAGATGAAGGAAAACAATATTTTATATCTGTTGAAACCTCAAAAACACTTCAACCTATGTCAACTTTCTACAGAATACCCCCTTTAGTAATTTACAGCCAGCTCTCGAGATGGTACATAAATTCATACGTTGAACAAAAGCATGCAAGATGTGCTGCTGATCCAAAGACATTTCGGGGATATAAAAAATAAGCCGGTTCAAAAGTCTTGTTAAGCTGTGGGCTACATGGAGTCAGTGGCATAGGCAGGAAATCTATTTTTGGGCCAGCCTGTCAAAAAAAGCAGCAAGTTTTTTAGCAAATATGTAGCTATGAATGGAACAAAATGGAACAAAAATAAGGTTATTAACTTGTAACACAGATTTCAAATTATATTATTTGTTTCAGAATTGTTCAGGATTATATAAATTCCAGTGCTTCATGGATAACATGAATGCTTGCAGCAAACTGTTGTCTGTATGGAATGTGACAAGCATTTTCCAAGCATTAGATGTAAATAATAATTTGTTGTTAGCCTACAAACTATTTTTGTAACAAGAAACAACAAATGATGTTTTTATAATGTAAAAACCATTGACAAATTCAGGCAAGGTATCTCTTGCTCAACTTTCTGGGAATTCTGACTTTTAGACAGAGATCATGTTTTCTATTTTTCTGAGCATAATGGAAATACAACCCCATTTCCAAAAAAGTTGGGCGCTGTGCAGAACATAAATAAAAATAGGATGCAATGATATGCAAATCATGTAAAGCATATTTTTGATGGAAAATACTACAAATACAACATATCAAATGTTGAAACTGAGAAATGTAATTGTTTTTTGAAAAATATATGCCCATTTTGAATTTGATGCCAGCAACATGTTCCAAAGAAGTTGGGACGGGGGCATGTTTACCACTGTGTTTCATCACCTCTTCTTTTAACAGCACTCTGTATGTGTTTGGGAACTGAGGAGACCGACTGCTGTAGTTTTGAAAGTGATACGTTTTCCCATTCTTGTTTGATACAGAATTTCAGCGGCTCAACAGTTTGGGCTCTCCTTTGTTGTATTTTTCATTTCATAATGCAGCAAATGTTTTCCGTGTTTGACAGTCTGGACTGCAGACAGGTCAGTTTAGCACCCGGACTCTTTTAATACAGAGCAATGCTGTTGTAATATGTGCAGAATGTGGTTTGGCATCATCTTGCTGAAATAATTAAAACTTTCCCTGAAAAAGACATTGTCTGGATGGCAGCATATGTTGCCAAAACATGTATATATCATTCAGCATTAATATTGCCTTCACAGATGTGCACGTCACCCATGCCATGTGCACTAATGCACCTCTATACCATCATGAATACTGGCTTTTGAACTGTGCACTGATAACAAGGTGAGTGGTCTTTAACCTAGAGGATGCAGTGTCCATGATTTCCAAAAAAAAATTCAAACGTTGATTCGTTGGACCTCACTGAGCTTGGGCCTAGAGAAGGAGGCAACGTTTCTGGATCCTGTTTATATATGCATTTTCTTTGCATTTTAGAGCTTTAACTTGCATTTGTGGATACAGTGTTGAACTGTGTTCATAGACAGTGGTTTTTAGAAGTGTTTCTGAGCCCATGCAGCGATTTCCACTACAGAATCATGTCTGTTTTTAAAGCAGAACCATCTGATGGCCCAAAGATCACAGCCAGCAAATACTGTTGCACTATTTGCTTGTGCAGTCTTTCATAAAGTGGTGAATGCCTCATCTTTACTTCTGAAACACTCAGCCTCTCTGAGATGTTCTTTTTATACCCAATCATGTTACTGACCTGATGCCAATTAAACACCAGGTGTTTTTTTTAGAATTACACAACTTTATCAGCCTTTTGTTGCCCCGTCCCAACTTTTTTGGAACGTGGTGTTGGCATCAAATTCAAAATAGGCAAATATTTTTCAAAAAACAATAAAATTTCTCAGTTTCAACATTTGATATGTTGTCTTTATATTATTTTTAATGAAATATAGGGTTTAAAAGATCTGCACATCATTGCATTGTATTTATTTACACTGTGTCCCAACTTTTTTGGAAATGGGGTTATACTTAGCTAATTAATAAGGTCTAAAACAAGGGCTGCATTTTAAAGCATGACTGTCTGGGTTGCTGTAAAAAAATGTTTTGTGTTTGTAATTCCATCTTTAATGTAATTAGGAGTTTTACACATTAAACCATTTAACACAGACCTGCCGTCAAAACCATTTCCATTATACTTAATAATAACTCAAATATTTGTTTTCTATGTAGTTACTGAATATTAATCCTTAGCATGTGGACACGTGAAGTTTAAGGGCTTAAATGGTTGTCATTCGTGATTTTGACCTCCAATTTGTAGACCTATTTTATCTACAGTTGCAAGCAAATTAATGATTAAATGACTTTGTTGAAATAAAAATAGCTTAACACAAAATTAGACATGTACAAAGGTTATGGCACATGTAATATGTTTTATTTTTTACCATGTGTATATATATATATATGTATATTGTATACAGCTGTATGTTTCTACATTTTGGGTTAGAATGATGGATTAAATTGCTTACACTTGTTTTTGTTATTTACATCTGATTTTGTGCTGTGTGTCCCACCTACATTTGAAATATGGAGAAGTAGCAAATATGTGGATGAACATTTCCAGATGTCTTCATTCTGTAAATCTGCCCATGTACTCCAAACTATAGGTCAAGCAAGGCTCATCCCCAGAGGGTTCATGTTCTGGTGTAGGGGATGTGGTTTTTTTTTGTTGTTGTTGTTGTTGTTGTTGTTGTTGTTGTTGTTGTTGTTTACAGTGCTGTTTTTTTGTGTCTTAGTGAAGCCGGTGGGAGTGGAGGGGCTGATTGGAGGCCGTTCTAGAGGGATTTTCTACCTACGCTTTACTATTGTCCTCCCTCCCCCAGATCTTTATCTGTGCATTCATCACTGCATGCTGGGTATATACTGTACATGATGGATCTCCTCTGTGAGCTCCCACTGTGAGTTATGGTGCCCTCCACCCATTTCTCTCCTTCTCTTTCACTCACTCACTCGTTCTCTCATTAATTCGTTCATATACACATACACACACTTCCCTGTGGTCAGGTCTCCTCTGGCCTTGCTGAGGTGGCTGCACCTGCCTGACTTTGGCAAAGTGTGTCTGTGTGTGTGCTTATACTATTGTATAGACAGTAAATGAGAGAGAGTGAGTATTATAGTTGTATGTACCCTTACATTCTATGTGTGAACTAAAAGTGGCTTTTTTAACAGCTCAGAGAACTAATCTCATTATGGTACAACCTTTACCCTCATCATGTGTGTTTGTTTGAAGTACGCTTCTGTGAGTAGGGCTGTCACTATCCATTATATTAGTTATCACAGAGGTGTTGCTTATATGATGCACAAGTACATGCTGTACACCCTCTAGGAAACCACTTGAATTTGTGTATACCCACTTAATAATGCCCAGTGATTTGTCGACACTTGCATAAAGTTTGTCCGACATAAGAGAGGAGACACAGCAGATTGTGCACATCCGGAATGTCATCCCTATACAATACAATCTAAAATGCTATGAAATGTTTCTTTTTTCATGTAAATTATTCAAAGAATTTAACTAAAGAAAAAAAAAACACTATTTAGCATGATTTATATTTAGCTGTTAAATTTTTGCCCTGCTAGATCTGCCCTGGTCAACTTAAAACATAAAAACAGAATGTGGATGAAAATGTATGTTAATGAGAGAGCAGAGTTTAAAATGTGTATAATCATAAACATTTCCAACTGATTGTTATGGATTCATTGAGGAAAAATTCAGCAATGAGTGTGTGGGTGTGTGTGTGGGTGTCTCCCCTCCATACATCTTCATCAGTCATGCTCATTGCTGTGTACCCGAGTGCTTCACTTTGCCCCGACACCATTGCCCTTCCCATCCTATCTCTTCCTCTTTTCCTCCCTGTCTCTTTCCACCCTTCAGCCCACCCTTACTCACCTTGTTTTCCCCTCTCTGCATTGCTCCCTCCCCCATCCTGCCCCACCCCCCAAATACTCACACATTGATAGTAGAGCCTGTGTGACTAGAATGCTGAAGTGCTAATCACCATTCTACAAGCAAGGCTTTGAGCTGAGACAGAATGTCAATTGTTGCTTTCTCTCTCTCTCTATGAACAGAGGGACCACACAGCCAGCTTTGTGAGAGGAAATACTGAAAGGATTCAATGAGGCTAAAGCACACACACGCAGACGGGAGTTTATGGCGCATCCGCTGGG